CTAGTCCTAAGTTCAGCTCTAGTTCTAGCTCTAGCAATACCTTTAGCACTAGTCTAATCTCTCTGAGCTGTAGTCCTAGCGTACAACATAGCTATAAAACTTGGTCTAAGCCTTCATAAGCTTTGCTTTAAATCCAGTATAAGCTCTGGCTGAATGCTTAGCTTTACCCCTATCCCTGTCCTGTATCCTAGCTTTAGCCCTAGCTCTAAACTAAACCCTAGTCTAAAAACTAGTTTACGTTTTACCTTAGTCCTATTATAAGCACTAGCCTAACGCCTAATCTTAGCCCTCGTCCGAATCCTAGCTTTGTATCCCCTTGGCCTAAGCTGGGATATAGCCTAACGCAGCCTAATCTTAACCTTACCCCTTGTATGTAAATAACCATAACATTCACAGCTTAAGGTACCCCAAACATCAATACAGCCAAAAATAGTCGCCACCTGCGAGCGCTTTTGAAACTTTTGTTTTTAATTCGAAATTTCGCAAAAAATCGCGTGCAATTTGAACATTCAGCTAATTTATTGTTTTTGACGCAAAAACGTTAGTTGAACGTTCCGGAACGTTCAGCTCGCACTGTTTACGGCAACATTAAGCGAGCTAGACATTAAAGGTGGAATTAAAGATCATGATGTAAATATAGGTGTTACTGAGGGGTAACAGCTATATTTACAAAAACAAGCATGACTAACGGAATTGGTCGATTACTTACATTTGGTTTAAAAAAAATAAATCGAGGTTTGGCAAAGTTGATTAGAGCATAATAAACATAAAATTTTGTAAAAAGCTTACTGTATTTTTCATAATGACGTAGTTGCTAATTCAAAAAAAAAAAAGTTCAGTTGATGTCATAAAGTGCAAACTACGTTAATTTTAAGACTAAACGAAAATCAATAGGGTTGGTAGATCTTTCGAAATTGTTCTCAATTAAATGTTTTTGAAAAGATCAAAATGTTCAAAACAAAAATTAAAAAAAATTTAAATTTTTAATACTAATTGTAAAACTCTACCCTACCCTACCCTACCATACCCTACCCTACCCTACCCTACCCTACCCTACCCTACCCTACCCTACCCTACCCTACCCTACCCTACCATACCCTACCCTACCCTACCCTACCCTACCCTACCCTTCCCTACCCTACCATACCCTACCCTACCCTACCCTACCCTAGCCTACCCTACCCTACCCTACCCTACCCTACCCTACCCTACCCTGCCCTACCCTACCCTACACTAACCTACCCTACCTTACATTACCCTAACTTTCAATGCCCTACTCTGTCCTATCCCAACATACATTATCTCAACAGCACAGTTCTAGGCTCAGGCTAACGCTTCGAGCTAGAATTAAATGGAAGATTAAAAAAACTAAGGCTAGAACAATAACTAAAGATACAACTAAGTTTAGGGCTAAAAATGAAACAAAGTTAAGGCTTTAGATATAACTAGAAATCTTTTTTCAAGAATTACAAAATTACATTTAAAAATATTTTTTTTTGCAAAAGAGTCACAAAACTTGTCAACCAATTCCAAATTAGCACGTACACTTATAATCAGAAAAGATTTTTCACATTTCAACCCAAATAAATATCATTTCGATTACTCTTTCTGAACACATCAAATTATCGCAAAAATTTGGAGAATTTGGCTCAAAAACAGTAGCCGCGCCATCTTATGATTGAAAGATTGTGACGAATTTGACGCCATTTATCATTTTTAAATTTATGTCAATTACTTCTTGATAGGAATGCACTGGCTGCAAGCTAATTTTGCGCTTTAAAAGTAGCTTAAGCTCTTGTTCTAACCCTTGTCTTAGCCTAAGCCCTAGCCTAAGCCGTAGCCTAAGCCCTAGCGTAAGCCTAAGCCCTAGCCTAAAACGTAACTTAAGCCTAAGAACTAGCTCTTGTCCTAGCCCTAGTCTTAGTTCCCCGCCGTAGTCTAATCCGTAGCGTAAGTCTAAGTCCTACCAGCTTAAGCTCTAGCCAAAGCCGTAGCCTAATTGTTTGAATAAAAACCTAAATTTTTCCAGATTACTGTATCCGGAAGTCTTTTTACCATGTTTCTCTCCCACGAGAAATTGTAATAAACATGTACGTCACATAACCACAACGTAACAGTTTTTGGTTTTGACTTGATTTTTTTGTAAATTCACAAAGATTTTACTTCTGCTTACCGTTAACAACCATAACAAGTTTTACAACGAAAAATGTTTTACTTTACTGTAGATCAACCACCATGTTTTGATCTACCTTACGCTACTATATAGATCAACCACCATACTTTGAACTACATCAATAACATCTAACTCAATATATAGTTGATCAACTTCACTGATAAACAAAAAATCATGTCATATCAAATTAAAATACTATGGCATAAACAGCAGAGATAAAACAATCGTAGTAACCACATACGTTACACCTAAAATTGTCATTCAATTGCAAGAAAAAGAAACAGAAATTACACAAAAACAGTTTATATTAACGTAAACAGATCATTTTGGGTGCATTGATAGTATGTGATGTGCATTGGATCAATTTAAAATCAAAAAAAAAAAGACGTAGGTGGTATAAATATTTACCATGTGTAACAAGAAGTAAAAAGGAAGTTTTTGTTCTGAAACGAAATCAACCTGTAGTGACAGTTAGTTAAGGTAGGTGATCTAAATGGTCTCTGGACATAGATTATAATTTACTTTAAGACCTTTCTTCCGCTTCTACTTCTTTGTCTTTTTCTCTTTCCTCTTCTTCAGCATCTTTTTTGTCCTTTTCTTCTTTATTCTCGTCTCCTTACTGTTCTCCTTTGTCTTCATCTCCTACCTCTTCTTCTTTGTCCTCTTCTCCTTCCCCTTTTTTCTCTTCTGCTTCCCATACTTCTTCTAGTTGTTCTTTGTCCTGTTAGCATTTCTCTTCTTATTTCTTTTCTTCTGTTGCTTCTTCTCCTTTGTACACTTTTTCTTCCTCTTCTTATTCTGACTCTTCTTTGACTTCTTCTCCTTCCTCTTTTTTCTTTTCTTCTTCCCATTCTTCATCTGCTTCATCTTTGTCTCCTTATCCTTTCTCTTTTTATTCCTTTTCTTTTACTTCTTTTTCATTATACTTTTTCTTCTTCTTCCTCTGATTCTGCTTTTTCTTTCTCTTCTTGTCCTTTTTGTTCTCATTCCTTTGCTTCTGCTTCCTGTTCTTCTTTTATCTCTTCTCATTCCCCTTATCTTTCCTCCTCTTCTGCTTTTTATCAATCTTCTTTTCCGCTTCTTCTTGGCCTCATCTCTTCTAGAACCTTTAATATGAAACTCAAGTCCAACCGCGCCCCATCTTAAATTAAACCTCCAGTTTGGCCGGCCGAAAACCTTATCAAACTGAGGAACAAGACTAGATCTGGGGCTAAGGTTAGGTCTAGAGCTAAGGCTAGGGCTAACGCTAGAGCTAATCCTAAAGCTAGTGCAATAGCTAAAAGTTAAAGTTAAGTCAAAAACCAATGTTTTTGTTCAACCACTTTCAGTAATGATAATTAAACCTAATAATATAAGTAAAATACACCGTCAGGTGTCTTCAATATTTTTAAAAGTTTTGCAACATATTTACCCTTTAGAAGGGCGCTAGGACAAATGCGGTTTTTGGACATTTGCGGATCTGCGGTTTTTAGACACTTGCGGATCTTCGGTTTTTGGACACTTGCGGATTTTGGACATTTGCGGATTTTTTAAAGGTTTTTTTAAATTCTTTAGTTAATTTATTTGTAGTATGGTACTAAATTGTACGAAAGTTTAAGTTGGTGCGGTTTTAACATAACAGTACCTTTTTGGGCTTTTAGTACCATTCAGTACCAAAAAATATAAAACAGTACCAATTTAAAATTTAGTACTATTTAGCACTAAAACATATTAAAACAGTACCAATTTACACTTTAGTACCATAATACAACTAAATTAACTAAAAAATAAAAAAACCCCTTTAAAAAATCCGCAAATGTCCAAAATCCGCAAGTGTCCAAAAACTGAAGATCCGCAAGTGTCTAAAAACCGCATTTGTCCTAGCGCCTTTAGAAGCCTAAAAACTAAAAAACATAAAACCAATACAAAAGCAATAAAGTTCACACATAAAATCAATACAGGTTGAAACGAAAGTGTAATAAGGAAGAAGTGGATGGAATGTACTTTCTGACCTGCCACCCTCGGTTTCGCAATTCGAAAAAGCATTTTTATTTTGGTTTTTTGAAAAGAAATCGGTAATTCATTAACATTTTAGAAATTGTTCTTCGATTAGAAACTGCAAAAGTTGATTTTTGAAAAGTTGGGCGTGGTAAAATTTAACGGACGGTAAAAGAGTAAGGGTCGGCCTAAAATTAGTGAAAGAATAGAATTCAAAATAACGGTCAGAGGAAGGGTAGGGTAACCGAAAATGAAATATTTTATTGTTTTTGAGAGCTAAAATTAGGGTGTGATAAAAAATTTTTTGGGCGTAGTAAAAAAAATTTTGGGGATGGATAAAAAAATTTTTTATGTGTTACTTGAACACATCAAAACACATCACATAAGTCAAATACCAAGTAATATCCCCGTATTTTGCAAGAAAAAACAACTTTTTTTCAAATTCTGTGTATTTGAACTGGAATTTAACGAACAATCGGATGATTGATTGATACGAGGAAGTCATAATCAACCAAAAAAACACAGACTTTATCTCAAAATACAAAATTTTTCATTGACTTTGTGTTATGTGTGGTCTGAAATGGCAAAATAAGTGGCATTTTGTAGTTTTTTTTGCCAAAAAAATGAGCTTTGCACCGTGCAAAAAACATTTTTTCAAAAAAAGTTATAGAAAATTCATTATTGTTTACAATTAAAGGTACAAAACTCACAGTACTACCCCAAAAATATACGGTATGAAACCAAGTTTGACAAAAAAAGCTTCAAAAATAAAAAATAAATTAAAATTTATAGCCCAAAGCAATCGGAAATCAAAACAATAATCCCAAAATAAATAAACAATCTATTGATATTATCGGCAGTTCAATTTGACCACATCCAGTAATGTTTTATTGATAGTTTCAACGTCTTCTACATTGTGATTCCACTCTACATTTCCACTTTTGGTGGCTAAAACAGCGGCTCCAAAGGCTGGAGAATGAACTGATTCAAAGAGTTTTACCGTTTCCATTTCTCGCTGAGATGATAGTGCTGCTTTGAATCCTGAAACAACTTTATAAATTTATGAACAAATAAAACAGACCAGAGCAAAGATAAAGTAAGACTGAATAAGAAATAGTAAAGCATGTTAGAAGGCATAGAGTAATATTAATTAAAGTAGAGTATGTTATGAAAGAGTAAGGTACAATGAGTCAAGATAGAGAAAGTTAAAGCAAAGTAAGATAAAATATGTTAAAGTAGAGTATATTATAGTAGTAGAGTATGTCACTGTAAATAAAGTAAAAGTAAAACTATGACAGGACAGAGTAAAGCAAGCTAAGGTAGTGAGTAAGGTAGAGCAAGGTAGGGTAGAATATATCAAAATAGGATAGTTTAAGGCATAATACGGTAAAATAAGGTAGGATAGGGTAAGGCCGGGCAAGATAAGGTAATATAATATAAAATAAGACAGGATTAAATAAGGTACTTTAGAGTAAGACAGGGTAGACTGCGGTGGTAGAGAGAAAAGTAAGTTAGGATAAAGTAAAACAAAGTAGTAAGGTAAGAGCAGTATATGTTAGAGTAGGATAAGACAGAATAAAACAGGGTAGTGTAGAAAAAAATCGGATAATTTAAGCTCAGGTAAGGTAAACTAATATGGGATAGAGAATATTAAGATAAAGCAGACAAATTCTTACCATTTTTGATCAAATCCCAGCTTCTAAAGACTGATCCAATTGCCAGTACATTGATTTCCTTTCGTTGTTCCTAAAGAATGTAAAAAGTTAAAGCAAAACTACACGGCACTACGCTAGAGCTTACAAGTTGTTAGACTACGTCAATATTCAATTTTTTCAAATTCAAACCAAACCCACTAATAATATTATCTTACCGACTCCAAATGCCTAGCCAACGCCCCCACATGTTCAGCCAATACAACTCCAGCTTGATAGAAACATTCAGCTGCCAATTCATCGTACTCTGCTGTTTTTGCCAATTTTTCACAAAATGAGGCAATACTCGCTTTTAAATTGTCATTATTGTACAATATATCCAGCATTTGAAGTTTGTCGGTTATTTTAAAATGTTCGAAAATCGATTTTTCCAATGCCTCAAGGCTATAGTTTGAGGTTTTTAGGCCGTCCGTTATGTTAAAGTATTGTTGAATGGCTCTGAAAGTAAATAGAGATAGAGAAAAGAAGAGTGAGGTAAGGTAGTGTAGAGTAAAGTAAAATAGTCTTGAGTAAAGATAGGGTCGAATGGGGTATGGTATGGTAGATTAGAGTAAGTTAGAGTATCGCAAGATAAGGTAAGGTAAGGTACGGTAGTTTAGAATGAAGTAAAATAGGTTAGGGTAATGAAGAAGTGAGGCAAGTGAAATTAAGATAGAAGAAGGCATAGTAGAGTAAAGTCCTGCATAAGGTACTGTAAAGTAAGGTAAGACAAGAATAGGGTAAAGTCGAATAGGGTAGGGCAGGGTAGGGTAGGGTAGGATATGGTAAAATAGTGCAAGTAAAAGCTGAGAAAAAGCCTATTGAGCTTAAGTCTGCTAAGCCTAGGCTTAAAAAGCACCAGCTTACTAAGCCTGAGCGTTAAAGACTGCTAGCCTAACAATTGTAAGTCTACAAAACACAAGCTTGTAAAGCTTAAGCATACTAAGCCTGACAAGCCTAAGACTATTAAGCATAAAAGTCCTAAAGCCAAGCTCAAGCCTATTAATACTGCTAAATCGAAGCCTGACAAGCCTAACATACTAAGCAAAAGACAGACATGTTAAAGCATATTAAGCTTAAGCATGTTAAGCCTAAACATACATCGCCCTGCCTTACTAACCTTAAGCCTAAACCAATACAAACCCTTTGTTAAAAACTCAAATTGTTATCAACCCTACCGTATAGCAATCCAATAAGCACTGCCGCCATCACTGATCAAATGTCCCCACCCTCCGGCACAATGAACACTGCCATCCGGTGTTAATAGTCTGGCCGCTGAGCCAGTACCACAAATGAGTACTATGCCTCCCTTTTCGACAGGGAAATTGGCAGCTACAGCAGCTACAGAATCTGACGTTAAGAATACGGTATCCGATATGTCATTGTGCTCATTCTTCATATATTCCACTACTTTTGAGTTGAAGTCGGCCGATTCTGCTCCTGCTAGGCCCATGCCCTGGAATTAGTTACTATGTTAGAGTAGAGGAGGGTAAAAGTAGAGGAGGGTAGAGTAAGAGAGGGTAAGGTAAGGTATCTCAAAGTAGAATATAATAAGGCAGAGTATAGTAAGGTAGGGTAGGGTAAAGTAAGATACGGTGGAGTTAAGTGAAAATTTCAAAACTCCTACCAAAGCCTTGACCGGTAATGTGACGCCATATTTATCGACCAGTAGTCGACTATGGTTAGCAATTCGATCGGCTGTGCCTTCTACGCCGACTAGTAGACAGTTTAGTCCATCCGAGTCCTCTGTTCCAACAATTTCTCCATTTTTATTGAACAAAACGTATCTTGACCTGGTTGCTCCTCTATAACAATATTATTTGACTTTTTGATTTTAGGTGGGGTATGGTAGAGTAAGACATGATAGGGTAGAGTAGAGTAAGGCAGAGTAGAGTAGGGTAGGGTAGGATAAAGTAAGGTAGTGTAGGGTAGGGTAAGGTAGAGTATTGTAAAGTAGGATACAACAAGATTAAAAAACATACCCTTCAATGCCAATGTAATACGACTGGTCGAAACTTGCTGAAAATAAGATAAAACTACTGTAAAAGCCAATGATATCGTATAACTTACTCATAATAACGCCCAGCTGAAGAGAATGTTCCCTGTCACTTTTCCTTATCAATCTAGCTTCCAATTTGTGCTCTTGAAGAAGATGTTCTATCGACCAGTCGGAACTGAAAACAAGAACTTTAAAGTTATAAGCTACTCTATTGATCTATTACAATAAACTACTATAATATTTTAATTTGTTGTTTGTCGATTATTTTTTTAAATGTGAAAAAAGTTAAACGTTGATTTAAAAAAACGTTTTATAAAAGTGACACACAAGTGATCATAGACAAGATTAGAAAAAAGTGACCCCGATCGTAAAATAAATAGCTTGATTAGACGTGTAAACACACAAAAACCACTGTTTACTATCAATAAACTTAATGTTACCTTACCTTAACCAACCCTACCCTACTCAACCCTACCCTAAACTACTCAACCCTACCCTACCCTACCCTACCCTACTCTACCCTACCCTACACTACACTACAATACCCAGCCTACTTTGCCACGTCCTACCCAAATGTTTCCCACTTTAACCAACCTTAACTTCCTAGCACTATCCTATCCTACCTTAACTCTTCCGTTTACTATCCCGCTTTACCTTAAACAACCTTACCCTGCTTTGTCCTACTCTCATCTACTTTACCCCATCCCTACCTTATCCTACTTTAAACTACCTTTGGCTTGCTTTGCACAACACTCGCCTTTACCCTATCCTCTGTCCCATCCTACCGTGCCTTAAACGGTCCCCCCTGTGGATTTTTTCGACCCCCGCCCCCAGACCAAAAGTCCCCGCCCGGCACTGCCAATACCTACTCTACTTTATCTACACTGCCCTACTTTTCCTTCCTATCCCACCATACTTTAAACGCTCTTGTCTTGTCTTGCCATATTCTACCCTACACTAATTTACCCTAACTCTTACGTTAACCATGCTTTGCTCTAGTTATAATTAGGATATTTGCCTTATGATTTGTCTAAAAGATCCATTACAATAGTATGTATATGCAGGGACGTCGCTACCCTGTGGACCGATTTTTCAGAAAAAATTTTTTTTTCACGTACAGGACTTACCTGTGGAATTTTTTTTCGGATCGGCTCTGGGGGAGGGGGTACCGCCCCCCCCCCTCCCCCCCTCCCCCAAACGACGTCCCTGAGTATATGTTATTTATAAAAGCGTTAAAAGCTTATTTCTTCCACAAAAGCAGAGAGAAACGTGTCCTTTTCATTAAACTTTTGTAAATATTAGATTTCCGGAAAAAGAGTGAGAATAATCATCCACTTTTCACACACTGATAACAAAGCTCATTTTGCCGTTTAATAATAAAATTTAAACTTTTTACAATTCAAACAGATTGAAATGAAGGGCGTATTTTACAAAATTTCTCAATCTTTTGCTAGCCATATCACTCACCTTCAATTCAGAAATTATCAAATCAACTTTCCAACCCCATCTCTTTATCTACTATAATATAAACAAGGCCGGACTCTAAGAGAAGTACAAGGGTAGGGGTAGTTAAAACTTACTCTCGATTTTGATACGAAAACACAAATTCGGCCTTTGGAAATTTGTCAAAGATACACTTGACTGTGTTTATCAATGGCTCAAAAGTTATTGGATCGAAAAAGATGTCCGACCCAACAATATAATCAAGTTGATCAACGGTTTCTAGCCAATTTTTCGTTTTTTCAGTTAAATTCCAGTCCAATTCCTGAAGCAATATATTATAGTTTAGTCTAAAGCAATATATTATAGTTTCAATTTTAAAAAATAATTTTTTTGCTGTATAATAGATCAAAGCGGTGGGGAGAAAGAGAGAAGATCAGCCCCTAGCCATAATTTTTTTTTAAATCCCATCAACTCCTCATTTTTTTCAACAATCCACCCGCTCAAAAAATTTTTAAAAAAACTACCCCTCCCACTTTTTTTCAAAAAGCTACCCCGCCCACCCTCAAAACTTTTTTTTCACAAATTTACCCCGCCCACACTCAAAACGTTTTTTTCGAAAATTTACCCCGCCCACCCTCAAAACTTTTTTTTAAAAAATCCATCCCCCTCCCCCGCCCTCAAAACTTTTTTTTCTAACTAACTTACCTGAATTTCGACCCGTTCCAGCTGTTCCAAGCTCAAATTTGCTTTCAAATTTTGTTCAGCGTTCCCAAGACTTATCGATTTGTCAGTGCAATAGACCTTTTTCGCTTCCAATCTAGCCAATAATATTGATGGTACACAAGCTACACCACAGCCGAGTTCTAGGACTACCTTATTCTTAAAGAGTTGTTCGTTTTCTAGTAGATATTCACCTGAAAATTGAATTTTTAGTTAAAAAAGTTACGGTTTTTACCTAAAGTGTTATGTTTGCAGCCTTTTAGTTGTCAAAAGAATCATTTTTAAGCCTAAAAGATAGCACTACTTTAAAAACCCACTGTCTAAAATTGGCTTTGCATTTCAAAAAAACTGAAAAAGTACAGAATTAAGAATGAACAACGTATTTTACAATAAATTTGCATCAATTACTATTATATTTACAAAAAAAAAACAGAAAATACAGTAGAACCCGTACAAATCTCTCAGAAATTTTTAATTTATTCTTTATACGAAAGCTTTATATACACTGTCAGCGACGTCGCTACGGATTTTCTCTAAAGAGGGGAAGATCGGAAATTTTTTTTCGTTTTTTCGCGTACAGTTACCTCCTGTGAAATTTTTTTTCGGATCGGCTCTGGGGGGAGGAGGTACTCCCCTCACCTACCCGCTCCCCCAAACGACGTCCCTGTACACTGTATAGTGTTGGCCAGAAAGTTAAAAGTTTTTCGTTGTTGAAGAGTTCGTTATACAAAAGATCCACTATAGTTAAAAAAATGTTTCCAAAACAAAACAACTCACAAAGTAAATCGAGACTAGGCCAAGAATGCTTCCAGACTTGTTCTAGGCCAGACATAAACGCTAAGAAATTTTTAAATAAAAAAGTCGATTTTACTTGATAATTTATCTGAAAAACTAAAATTTGATTATTTTTGCTATAAAGCAATTCATAAAAGCAATAATAATTAGCAAATTATCCTCAAAAGCAAAGATAGATAATATCCTTGTAATTCAACTTTAAAAATCAGTGAATCCAATCAAAATTTAACATAAATATTTATTATCACAATAAAACCCTTATAAATGTATAAAATTACCTTTAAAAACAATGTAAAACATAAAACACATTAAAAACGTGTATAAATCGATAAAAAACGATTTAGATATCAAATTTTCAATATAATGTAACGAACTTTGTCATAGATTACAATTTTGAAAAAGCAATACCACGTATTTTACAAAAAAAACCTTGAACAATAAATAGGATATGATGTTTCGTTGTTCAAATAATTATGTGCCCCTTAAACCCGACAATTTGCTTTGAGATGGGCACAGAATTAATTGAACAACTGATAATATAGCACTTTAATTGCAATAATATCTTAAGTAGTCTGTCCGTATTTTAGCCATATGTAATGCATCACTTGACTTAGTAGCTTATATTATAGTACCCAATCAGCTGACACCTTTTCGTAGTCTTCTTCTGATATCAATGGAGTTTGTAGGAGTCTGAAAGTAATCAATTTAATCAAGGCAAGGTAAGGTAGAGTAGACTAGGACAAAGTAGAAGATATAGGGTTAAGGTAGGGTCCAGCACAGAAAGGTAGTGTAAGGTAAAGCAGGGTAATATAGAGAAAGGTAGTGTAACATAAAGTAGAAAAAGGTAAATTATCAAATTTTATCAAATTCTTACTGTATTATTCTTTGCTGACTACAGTATGGACATTCTCGGCACATGAAACTGTGCATTTTCTCTCGTAACGAAGCCAACGTGATCTCTGCATCGTCCTGTTCTTTGCCTGTTTTTAAGGAAATTTCCGATTTCAGCGACTTCTCATGCTCTTTCATCTTGTTGTACACCTTTCGTTCTCTCTGGAAATTGAAAAACTAACAAAATGTTACCTAAAAGCCTACTTTCTTAACAAAATGTTATCTAAAAATCCATTTTCTTATCAAAATGTTACCTAAAAATCTAATTTCTTAACAAAATGTTACCTAAAAATCAAAAACAATAAGGAAACCCAACTTACTTCGGTGAAGATCTTCTCCAGATATTCGACCAAGCAATCTTGATGGAAGAAATGTTTACAGTTAAAAGCAAAGAAAGGAGATTGAAGTAACGTTGTTGAACATACGACACACTTGTCTCCTCTCTTTACCACCAAAATACTGAAATATTTTAAAATTTTATTCAAAAAATGAAAATTTTTAGAGAAAAAAGTATTTTTTGCAAAAAAAATCGTTTTTTTTCGAAAAACTAAGTTCGATAGACTTTTTGACCTCACAAATAAATTTTGTAAAACCTTCTTCACCTATATCCCCCTAATCTATTTACTATTCACAACAAAATCAGCCGTAAAAAATCAATTTTCAGTCCAAAAACCCACTTCGAAGCCATTTCCTCAGCCTGTCTCCTGACATTATTATTAAAAAAATCAATTTCTCATTAAAAATCAAAGTTCCATCGACTTTTTGACCTCAAAAATAAAGTTTCCAAAACCTTCTCAACCTATATCACCCTAATCTGTACACTATTCACAACAAAATCAGTCCTCAATCACCAAATTTCAAGCCTAAAAACCCACTTCGAAGCCATTTTCTCAGCCTGTGCCCTGATTTGATTCACATTCTCCGTAGCCTGATGAATATCCTTTTGAAGTTCAGTAATTTGTTTCGACTGTTCTTTCAGACATTCACATAGAGGTTGTTTAAAGTGTTCAATTTTTGTGAATTCAGGAAACAATGGCAAAATGTCTTGAATTCTCAATACATTTCCGGATTCTTTCAAGATTTCAGTGCATTCTCCAACTTCTGCGCCGTTTTGAATCATGTGGTTGACTGGAAATTGGACTTATAGTATTGCTAGTGATCAGAGTATATAAGAAAGTCAAAAGATCAAATTTTGTCCAAAAAATTTTTTTTTGAAAAAAATCTATTTATGTTCAACTTGGTCCCCCCCCCCTGTTCATTTTTAAGAAAAAAAATTCCGAAAAATCCAAAGCTTAATATACATGTATAACAACATTGTAAAACTTTTTGTGTAAAATACGACAATCTCTAACGTAAAAACATATTCCTAAAATTTAAAAAAAATCAAAAAATGACCTTACCAATCTTCAACCACACCTTCTTTTTGGTTTCTTTGCTGACCTTTTGAGTGCCAAAACTTTGTTCAACGTCTGGGTTGAACAAGAACAAATCCGAGGTTTCATCGCTGTCTAATTCTTTTGCACATTCTTTGGCCAATTTTAAGTCGATCTGTAATCAACTTTGTCATAAAAATTCATTCTTATATTATTTTTATATATTAGAAGCGGCATTTTATACGTTCAAACATGTTTTTCTTTGCCCTAGCGTCAGAAGCTTTAGAAATAAACGCCATTGATCAATGCATTGATACTATATTAAACAAAAGCAAAGTTTTAAGTTCAAAACTAATTGAAATATAAAAAATATTCAAAAAGTCTACTAAAAAAAAGACCAAATAAACACATACCGTTAAAGCCTTGTCCACAGCATCTTCGTATTGTCCTTCTAGACAGTATAAAAAGACGGAACATTCGTCAAACTCTAAAAAATTATATTATGGTAGGCAGAATTTTATATATATTATATCATAGAAGGTATAAAATAAAAATTTACTTCAAATAGAGCAGTAAGCAGCACACTTTCAATTACAAAGCTGTAAAACACAAAAACACCCCCTTCCTACAACCCTCCGCTTCTTAAAAATTCTTTTAAAAATTAACATAGCTAAAAAATTTTCTCCACCATCCATCCTCAGCCTTTACGCCCTCCTCTCCCCCCCCTCTTCCAACTGCCATCAAAGATAAAACCCTACTCTTCTCCAAGCACAGTCGCAGTGCCCGTTCCGCATCGTACTTGACCAACTCTCGGCTTTTGCCAAACTTTTTCAAATGATCCAATAGCTGTTTAGGCTTATAGTCTGCTATCAACTTGATCAAGAAGTCATGAACAGTCCGATCCGAACATCCATTGTTCACGACAAAATTGAGGTAGGCAAAGGCTGTGGCTATCTGAAAAAGCTTTTGAAATATCAATGTTTTCGAAATTCAAAGTGTCGCAGATAAACTTCAGACCTAGGCAAGCCTATACATCAGTTTCCAAGCCTAAACATCAATTTCCAAGCCTAAAAACAAATTTCAAACACCAAAACCTTACCTTTTCGGCACTTTGTGAGCACTTGAAGAAGGCCGTTATCACTTGATTCGGTTTGATCGTATCCTTCATTTCAATCAACGTTTTAATAAATAGTTTTGGGATGTTGTCGAAGAAGTCTTGAGCATATTTGTAAAGCAACTGAGGGTTGGGCTGTGATGCCGCCACTTCCAACGCTGTTTGATATTCGTTTTGAAGGAAATGTACTTTAACCACTACTTCGTAGTCTGAAAAATTAAAAATTAATAAAATTAGCTTAAAAAGGGCTTTAAAATTCAGTTGGCTAATCTATATTATCGAAAAATCATAATTTAAACGGTTTAAAAAGCCTTGTCGTCAATTTACATATATTTATAATCTAAAAAACAACAAGACTATTTTGATAGCTTAAAAATGTACTTGAGTGTTTAAAATAGCAAACATGGTCTACATTGTTATACAAGATCAAAAATAATATCAATTTAGTCTTTTTTATACCTTAAAAAAGCCATTTATATTAACATAGACTAAAAAATATTAAGAAAATTCGATCTCGCCTCTAAGATCTTAGAAAACTTCAAACTGCCCCACCCATATCTCAAAAAGCCTCTTAAAACAAAAAACTTCCTCCTATCCCTTTAAATTATCCACCCCCTTTTCTGTCCTTAAAACAACCCCTACCATAGCTTAAAATAGCCCCTTTTCTACCCTCAAACCCACCCTGTCACAGCACACATTTACCCTCCTAAACCATAAAATACCCTTCCGATCCCTTCAAATTACCCACCCTCACCCCTACCCTCAAAACCACTCATACCTTTCAATTTATTAGCCAAGAACAAGTAGGTATCGAAGTCCACATGGGTTGACATCAATCGATACACAGCAATCTTGTTATCCAATATGCATTCATAGACGACTGTTCTGTTCAAAAAACAACACAATTCTTCCCTCAATTTCTTGGCCAAATGCTCTTTATGGCCAGCCAACGACACTTCTTGATCTTGTTTCGAAGTCGATCGTCTTAGCTCAGCCAGCTCACTTAACTGAACTTCCAACAGCCAGATCACCAAGATGTCTCGCTTGATCTTGTCCTGGAATTAAGGTTGTATTAGCATTGAAAAATAAAATCTGTATTAAAATTAAAATATTAAGTTGTTCAAATAATTCTGTGCCTTTAAACCTCATAAATTTGTTTTGAAAGAAAGCAGAGAATTTGAACAACCTAATAAAAGTTTTAAATAAATTAAGTGTTTGATTATCAACTGTTTTTGTCTTTAAAGCGCATTTAAAATGTAAGGGGGTACCTTTAACTCAAATTTTGAACACATTCGCACCGGTGTTGGAACAAGCGGATGGTAGCGTTAGAACCGCAAGAAAACGTACTTTAAGAATGTGAAATAAAAAATAATGGCACTGTGAACCGTTTTTGAGAAACTAAAAGATTACTGTAACCGCGCGTAAATATGCAAATTTTTCAACACTTTCCCGCAATGATAGAAACTTGATGTAATAATAAAAAATACTTTTTTGACAACGACAAACATTATGGTGAAAACCGCATGTCTGTATGAGGTTTCTTTCTTGAGTTATGAAAAATGAGGTCAAGCTACAGTATTCCATGATACTGTAACTTCGAAAATTTTTTTTTGTATTTTTAAATTTCTAGCTATTTAACAAAACATATATTCAATTTTTAGGCATTTCTGAGACATTGACTTTTTTCCTGTCGAGTCGGGTTCTCGGCCCTTACAAAAAACGTGTTTTAACATAAAAAAGAAAAGATACATTAACCTTAAAAAATCAACTTTATAATTGATAGTCTTGCTAATTTAAAAAAAGCTAAACCTGAAAAAATTTAAACTTCAAAATAAGTTTAAATTACTCAAGTATTGCCAATAAAAGCTATTTTTGGCCGATTTTGGCACCTTTTTCTAAACCTTCTTTTAGCTTTTCTTCAATAAAAATAAGAAACAATAACTTCAATCTAAATTTAAAAGCATATCTACCCTATTGTATAGCTTATACTGTGCATTATTCCCAATTTAAAAACTTGCTTCAGTATTATCAATTTAGAAGATTTGCTGGAACTAAAAATTTCCGTATTTCAAAGACTGTGTCTGGCTTTAAAACGGCATTTTCTGGCCTTGGCCTTGCATTCTAATACGCTTGTTCATTTTAACTTCAATTTTTTACATTGTAATGTAAACTTTAAGTATTTTATGGTTAACCTTGATTAATTTATCTTCTTTCTTATTTCAAATCCCGGTATTTCAAATCTATATTGTAGTAGCCTTTCCTTCAATATTTCTTCAAGTTATACAAAGCGTTATTCTTGAGACTGAGAGAGAGACTATGCCTTTTAACATTCCATACTATACTTGATTTTTCCGTCAATTTTCAAATATACTAACTGCGTTTTCTGTAAAACTTGGCCCATTTTTTAAAGTTCTCTACCGATTCTTGCCGAAAATCTACAGTAACCCCGCTTTTTCCCATCGACTCACATAGAAATCGTTGTGTGACAGAGCTTATCGTTGACAAAATGCCAAAAATTGCTCGCTCCGCCCTTTTTAGCATGCATTAATAACTTTATAAAGAGTTAATCATTCACTTCAACCTTAAGCTAGGCTCGGAGACAGTCGTATCTTCTACTCTGCTTTAAATCTTCAAGTTTCTATATATTATTTTTTCTTGATCGATACTAAAATGGCAGTGATCAAGCAGAACAATGTCTTCGACTTGATTGAGAAATTGTGCGTTATGGAAGCTGAATTGGAGCTAGGTGGACCACTAGCAGAAAACTGGCAACAAATCGAATTCAGTGCCATGAATCAGCAGCCAGAAGATGTTGAACAAGATGAAGATGAGGAGATCGATGTCATTGGCATCAGCGATGAAGAGAATGTAGTAGACGTTCAAGTCTACGATAACATTGAGATCGAGGAAGAGAATGAAGCTGCCGATATGGGTAGATTTAATAATGTGATTATTGTCGACGATGACCCCGACGTGATCAACATCGATAATGTGAACATCAGTGACCTTATACTGGAAGGATCAGACGAAGAATTGGCCCACCAAGAATTGATTGAATTTTTGGAAGATAAAAACGAAGAATACCTAATGATTCCACGCCGACGTTATCGCCAAGGAACGCCAGACACAGAAAACAACATTGATGGAAACAGTGAAGAAGAGCACTTCACAAATGGCTCCTCGGATTCAGAATCCGACGACGACTTCGTAGACTGGAAACGTCTACAAAATCTGGTCAACCGGCCAAAACGGACCCTAAAGAAGGTAAAGAACCCTATTTTAATGAAAAAGAAGAACGTTGCGTTGAGGAAGGAACGCTACAGAATGCTGCAAATGGCGCTGGAGAAACTTGACGGTAAATGAATATTGTCTTTGTTGAATTATTGTTATAGTGGCACTAGTTTTTCATTGTTAAGTTTGAACCTTTTGCTGGATTTGATCTCTGTTTCCTTAATGATCTATTATTATTTTTAGCCGGGTTTTTTGTTTTCCTATACGCTTTATATCCTACAATATTATCCTTGTATACAGTATGTGAAATTTCTTTGTAATGTTTATTAATATTTGTATTATACTCTTTATTGATTCTTTGTTGCGGTTTAATAAATTTTTATATATAAGCCTTTGAGACTTGAAAAGCTAACTGGAGGCTTGCGTTGGGCGCAGATTGCGCGTTCATCAATGAGAACTGCGGTTTTATTTGATTCTTCTAGCTTTCTTATTTATTTCGGTAGTAAATGTGAACAGTCTACAGTACATTGTACTGAAAGAGATCAGCTAATCCATAGTCAATTTTAAGTTAAACCTTCATATAAATGCAGAAGTGTAAGTGAAATTCCAGCTAATAGAGTGTGATAACGTCAGAACTGCTAGCATTGTAAATACTGTTCTCTTACCCTTTTATCCAAAGCCTCCAACTTGAGTTCGAGGTATCGTTTTAGTCCATTCCGGCTGTCCCTTGAGTTTGAATTTTTCAAAAACTTCAAGACAGTGTTTTCAAAAGGCTCCGTACTTTGGGCTAGGAGTTCGGCTGCTGCCACAAAACTAAAATTAAATTGTAAAATACGCCAACAGCTACTTCACCTACTGTGTCACAAGGCTATATAACCTACCAAAACAAAAAAAACCTAATTACCTACTAAAACAACAAAAAGTAAGCCTAAAGTATCCGACAAAACCTTACTTATTGTCCTGTAAAAACTTGTCGGCCTCCTTCTTCAGCACCACTTGATATGGCCGCTTATCAGACATCTGCTTAGCTATCTTTCTGGCCTTTGAGAATTCATTTCGTTCCACCAAGATTTTCCAAACGTCTCGAGTTTCTCTGTCCGGTCGGTAGTTGAACAAGCCCGTTTCAGTGAATACCCAAACCAGTTGAGAGGTGGCATCTCTGCACATTCCGAGGACATTCGAAGAGTCCTAAATTAAAAAAAATCAAGATTAAAAATTTGCTATTTGAATTCTACTAAAATTTTGCTAAAATATAAACAATCAAGTTTAGCTAACAGTGACGTTCTTGGACTTACTGCAATATAAAAATCATAAATTTTTGAAAAAAAACTAAACCCTACTGGTCGATATTACCCTTTATATTATTTAAAACATCATTTTCTAAGCCTCAAAACCCCCAAAATTCATTTTCTTTAAATAAAGTTTCCCTCCTATCATTCCCTCCTCACCGTAAAAACATCTTCAAAAGCAATCTTCTGATCCAAAATCGACATGGCCAGGAACTTGTTCGCATAAACCAAGAAGATGTGATACTCTGACAAAGCCACATTCAGTGGGTAATTGTATCTTCCTTCACACAAATCATGTTTCCTGAACCAATCCTCATTGATAATGTCAAAGCCGTCCATTTTTGAATTCTCAAAATGGCCGAGACTAAATCCTTCGGCTGCTAGCCAACAATATCGTTCTGGCAAAGATATTTGCTCCACACAGGTCGGGAAGATTACCACGCCGCTGGGTTTTTCTTGTTTTTGATCTCCAAGGCTGTGATAGCGAGGATTCGCTGAAATAAATGGTTATAAAGCAGTTTTTATATTGTTTTAGATAAATAAATAAAATAAAAATTTTGAAATTATTGTGTTTTAGCTGGATGTTATGGTATACAATTTTTACCAAAATTTAATAGACAATCACCTCATACTAAATTAGAATCGTAGAAAGGTCTCTGCTACACCATCATCAACTTTAAAATAAATTAAAGACATTCAAAACGTGCTCAAAAGACTGCTTTACCTCTTTTCCTTTAAAGAATCCATTTATTACCTAAAAATCAAAACAACTAATAGGAATACTTACATTTTGAAGAGAAAAAGCTTTGAAGAACGGCACTTTGTTGTTCTACCAATACTGAACTCCAGACAGTACCCACAACAGGTTGAGCTACTTCTTTTTCCATAGCATCAACATTCAATGTGCCTGGGATGCAATAAAGACGTCCTGGTGTGCATACAATCAATAGCCAACTAAAATAAAGTTTCAGTTAGTAGTTATAAACCTAAAGCTCAATATAAAGCTAATAGGAGTTAATAAGTCTAAAAGCCCAAGGTAGTCCTAAATAGCAAGATATAAGCTTACATAGCAAATGGTTACCCTAAAAACCTCTTTGTTTCCTAAAATTCAACAAAAGTTCAAAATTTTTCACCTGAGATCATTGTCCAAAGAATACGGAGTAATGTGAACATTACTTATTATAGCATTCTCAACCAATGTGCTTGATAACACCTTTAGATAGCTGACGGTGCCACTTGAAGCTATATTAGTCTCCAATAATTGACCTTTATTAGTTCCAAGAACAATAAAAGAAGTCTCCTGATCAGTAGCCTTTTCACTATTAAATCCAACAGCTGATATCACATGCCCCTAAAACAATATTAATATTACTTATTTATTCAGAAACCTGAAGAACTACCAACAATCGATTTTTTCCCTAACACACCGAAGCGAATACTAAACCAATAAATCCACCACAAACAGAAAAACTCACTTTCAAACGTCTCAACGGCTTTAAAGCGACAGTCTTCATGTTCATGTAGAAGTTCTCTCCAAGTTCCGTGCTGACAAGAGCATGAGAGCCACGGAAATCCAGATGAATATAGGCAATCCTGTCATTTGATGCTAGGTTTAACGGAATATCTAAAAAAAGTTGGTTTTAAACTAGTAAAAAAATTTCAAAAACATCCACAACATGGAATAGACCTAACGCTTTAAAAAACGTTAAAAATTTAATTTAAAAACCATAAAACTAAAAAAGAACATCGTAAAAGTCAGCCAATATCCTACTCTACAATTCCAAACCAAATTTTTTACCAAAACTTTCACCCAACTTGACATATTAGGCCTTATTGCGCCACCTACATCTAGTGTAATATAATCTTACTTTACTCCTAATTTCAAAACAAAATAAAATAAAACAACTTACCAGTAAATTTGCCAGTTTGTATTCGAATATGCTGAAGAGTCTGACCCTGTTGACCCAGTAGAACAACTCCATTTTGAATTTTACAATGTGATATAGGTTTCTTCAAGCTATAACACAAATTATTAGCAATTAAAACACCTTCTTACTTAATTTTAATGTTGTGCTTTACAAATAGAGGTTCTACTTGATGTTTTGAAGCCATTGCTGATTGAAATTTGTCCAAGTTTATCTGATTTCCATCAAATTATTCGAAATAAACATTTTTGTCCGAAATTTCATAAATAAAAAAGCTAGACTTGACTCGCGAATTCAGGCCGAAAGAGCACAACTTGACGCAAAACGAGAATTTGTCCGACAAAACACTTGACGCTTTTATTATAACCGTGTCATGTCTCTTACTTATGGTGAAGTTTTTTGTTTTGAAGTCGCCCCAAGAAGATAACTTTGTTTACAATTCAACTAATCAAACATCAAAGGTGCATGATTAGAATTGTTTACAAATAAATCGGGGCGAGAATATTATCTGTCCGCAGTTCTTGCTTACCGAACACTCCCGAATCGTCTCAAGGTCGCACGTAACGTGAAACAACATGGGTACACACGACCTACAGACATACTTGATTGAACTCAATGCTGGCGAGAAATTGGACAGTAAAGTGACATTCTTTAAGAAAGGTGAGTTATTTTAGTAGGATTTTTTGTTTTAGGTGGTATGGTTAATATAAATGATTGTGGAAGATAGATGAGTCAGTAAAGTTAGAGTTTAAAGTTGATAAAAGTTAAAAAGGATATTATTCTAGTTTTTTTGTTAATTTTAAAGTGGTTTTTAAACGCATTTTCAATATTTTGGAACACTAAACTTTGAAGGACATATGTCATGGATAACATAATATTTTGTGAAACTAGGTAAAGCCTCGACGTTGATTTTGTTAAATATTATTGTAGCTTACATATTTACACTTTTTTTATTAAAAATTTAAATTTTTAGGTTGGACCGCACGCTTCAAGGCCGGTCGAAAGCTTCTTGGCCGAAAGTTGACGCTAAAAATACCGAAGTTGGACAAGAAGTTTGAATTCCCTGAACTCAAAGCTTTGTCTGACTTTGATTATCATGTCGATTTGCTCTGCGACACTTTTGGAAGTTTCAAATATGAATTTCAAGTTGAAGGAGACTCAGAATCTAATGGTTCTGGTTATTTCACTGTTCAGCCTGAGTGGGAAGTTAATGGCAAGAAATTGTCTTTGAATTCGTTGGCTGTTCAAACCTATTTGACGAAGCTTTTGGGACCTTTGGAAGACTGGAAGGACAGACTTCAGGTGGCCAAGGAAAGTGGCTACAATGTGGTGCATCTTACTCCTGTTCAAGTTTTGGGAGTTTCTAACAGCAGGTATGGACTTTTACTTGGTTTTTTGATTATTTTAGGCCGGACATCGGACAAAGCATAAAATGTTATTGAGAATTAACTATATTTTAATATAAAACAACTATTTTTAAACCCAACTGCTTTCAGCTACTCAATTGCCGACTTTCAAGCTCTAAATCCATCTCTAGGCGACGTCACACTTGAAGATTTGGCCAAATTCGTTAAATTCTTGGAAGAAAAGTGGTCGATTATTACAATTCAAGATGTTGTATGGAACCACGCTGCTCGTAATGCACCATGGCTTCAAGAACATCCGGAATGTGCCTACAACTGTGTAAATTCACCCCATTTAAGGCCGGCTTTTATCATTGATCAAGCTTTGAGGCTTTTCAGCGATGAAATTGGAGAGAATAAATGGGCTGATCGAGGAATTCCGGCTGAGCTGAATGCTGGCCATCATTTGGAGGTAATTTAGAGCATATTGTAAATTGGTCAGTAGGTAAAATACGAATTTTTCTCGTTGACATTGTTTAATTTTGTAAAAGGTAAAAAATTGTAGTAAAAAATGATGTATAACATAATTTTAAAGATCGTAAAATAAGTGACGTCTAAACAAGCGGATTTTAGGCAGTAAGACACGCATTGTACACAGAAGTGTTACCTAAAATTCGAATTGAAGAGTTTTTTCAAGTTGATGTGAATTCAGTGTTGGAAGCCTTCAAAGAGCGAGTTAAAAGCAATAAACCTAAAGAACAAATGTCTGATCGGCCATTGGAGATTATGCAGGATAAGGACTACAAAAGATTTGGATCTTCGGTTGATATTGAGTTAGCCTACAGCTTGTTTTATAAAGAAATGTGAGTTTTTTGCTTATTTTCTTTGGCTTTTAGGTTTTTAATGATAAAATACGGATTGGTAATTACTAGTTTTGAAATATGTGATAGAATAAATCGACTGAATTATTATTTTTGTAGTAAAAGATGTCAAAATTAGCTAAAGCGAAGAAAACTTCAAAAAACATTTAATAATGTAATTTTTACCATATTGTAGTGATGGCCTGAACGAAGAAGATCGTCTAAATCGATGTGTAGAAGATTTACGTCAAGCTTTAGAAGGACTAAACCAAAACAAGAAGAATGAAGCTCAAGGACACATTGATGCTATTGTTAACGCAACAATGGGTCATGTAGGGTATGAAAGAGTAGATGGACATGGACCAAGAGTACCAAAGGTTACTCCGGACAAGCCTTTGACTACCAAGTAAGTTTGGAGTGGATTGAAACGGCGGTTTTTGAGATATGGGGCGAAAGTGATGTTATACTTGGGTTCAGTTAGGGTTGGAGAAAGTTTTGTCGTTTTTGTATGTATAAATTAATGTAAATGGACGACAAAATTTTTTGTGAGGGTTTTATATTAACATTACTTTATTTTTTAGGCTTTCATCTGCTTCTCTCAATAATTATGACATTTTAGCTACTTTGTCTTTCCCTTCGAAGTGCCAGACTTAAAAACGGCCGAATCAGAAGCCTACGACAAGCTGAATGGTGAATATATTCACGCTTGTAATGGCTGGGTGATGAATGCGGATCCACTAAAGAACTTTGCCGAGCCACATTCTCAGGTTTATTTGAGAAGAGAGCTGGTGGCATGGGGAGACTCGATCAAGTTGAATTATGGCTACAAACCAGCCGACTGCCCCTACTTGTGGGATTACATGTTACAGTACACCGAGAATTGTGTGAAAATCTTCCATGGTGTGAGGATTGACAATTGTCACAGTACTCCGATTCATGTGGCTGAGGTTGGTTTTTAGACTATAAGGGGGGGGTTAAGAAATCTCGATTTTTTAGGTCGGGAGCCCTCTGAAGGGTTTTTGGGTTTAAAAATGGCATTTTTGGCCTATAATAGGCTTAAACTTGAATATTAATTTATAGTAGGCCTAAAACTGAATAATTATGTTAATATTACAGTACCTACTGGAAAAAGCCCGTGAAATCAGACCGGGCCTGTACGTAATGGCTGAATTATTCACCGGATCAGAACACTTGGACAACTTGTTTGTCAATCGACTGGGAATCACTTCCTTAATAAGAGGTGAGTTTACTATTAGGTTTGTTCAAACAATTTTGAGCCCTATAGTCGTGAAAATTTGTTTTGAGAGGGTAAGAACATCTCGAACTCAAGCAGGCTTTGAATAAAAGGGAAGGAACACAATACTTACAATGACAGCAGTATTAAGAGAATACAAAATCTTATTACGAACAATCGAAAAAATACGAAATCTTTATGAATACCCCAAATAATCCAAATTTACTACCGAAAGCTCGAAGAATCAAAGAAACCCGCAGTTCTCATTGATTAACGCAATCTGCGCCCGACGCTAGGCTCTAGTTAGCTCTTTAAGTATCAAAGGTTTATATATAAAAGTTTATTAACCGCAATGAAGAATCAATAAAAAGTATAATACAAACATTAATAAACTGCAAATAACATTCAAAATACTATATGGCAAGAATAATATTGTTGTAATATAACTGTATATGAAAGAAATAAAAACCTGGGAATAATAAAGATCACCAAAGAAACAGAGATCAAATCCAACAAAAGTTAAAACTTAACAATGAAACCGCACTAATAATAACAATCAACAAAGACAATATTCATTTATCTTCAAGCTTTTCCAGTGCCATTTGCAGCATTCTGTAGCGTTCCTTCCTTAACGCTATGTTCTTCTTTTTCATAAAAACAGGATTCTTTACCTTTCTTAGGACCCGCTTTTGTCGACTTACTAGATTTTGTAGACGTTTCCAGTCCACAAAGTCATCGTCGGATTCTGAAGCTGAGGATTCATTGGAAAAGCGTTCTTCTTCACTGTTTCCATCGTTCTCATTCACTGTGTCTATCTTGTCTTGGCTATAGCGAAGGCTCATTTGGTAGCCTTCATTTTTGTCTTCTTCCAAGAACTCGATCAACTCTTGCTGGGCTAATTCTTGATCTGACCCTTCAAGGATAAGGTCGCTGATGTTCACGTTGTCGAAGTCGATCACGTTAGGATCTTTGTCGACAATAATAACATTATTGAACTTATCTACATCAACAATTTTCTTGTCTTCTTCGATCTCAATATCGTTGTAGACTTGAACGTCCACGGCATTTTCTTCATCACTGATGCCGGTGACATCAATCTCTTCATCTTCCTCTTGTTCGACAACCTCTGGCTGCTGGTTTATAGCACTGAAGTCGATTTGGTGCAAATTTTCAGCTAGTGGACTACCTAGCTCCAATTCAGCTTCCATGACGCAGAGTCTCTCAATCAAGTTCAAGACGTTGTTTTCCTTGATCACGGCCATTTTAATATTGATGAAGATGAAAAAATATAAAAAAACTTGAAGATCGATATTAGAGTAGAAGATACGACTGTATCCGAGCTGAGCTTAAGGTTGAAATGATTGATTAACAGCTTAGAAATTTATTAAGGCATGCTAAAAAGGGCGGAGCGAGCAATTTTTGGCATTTCGTCAAAGATATGGCTGGTCACACAACGATTTCTATGGGAATCGATGGAAAAAGCGGGGTTACTTTTGAGTTTCGCCAAGAATCGGTAGAGAACTTTATATAATGGGACAAGTTTTAGTTTAAAAGCCGTTAGTAGATTTTAAAATAGAGGAAAGGTCAAGTATGATATGGCATGTTAGAAAGCATAGTCCAAAGAATATTGCTTTGTATAGCTTGAAGAAATATGGAAACAAAGGCTACTATAACATAAATTTGAAAAACATGGCTTGGAAATAAGAAATTACGTAAAACAATTAAAGTTAACGATAAAATAATTAAAATTTACATTACAGTGTAAGATGATGAAGTTAAAATGATAAAATTTACATTAAAATCTAAGAAACTGCAGTTGAAATGCGAGAAAATGCCATTTCTGATGGGCTTTTTGATAAAATTTGAAGGAAAATTCTAAAAGACAATGGAAATTTTGACATATCTGGTCATATTATAGTAGCCAAGACCTACATTTTTAAAGCCGGTGGTTGTTATGATCTTTCGAGGCCATTAATAATCTTATATGACTAATTTCAGAATCCCAAAACGCTCCAGACAGCCATGAACAAGGTCGATTCGTTCACAGATTTGGTGGAGATCCAGTAGGAGCATTCAGGACAAAAACTGTCAAACCAGCGCCATGGTCTGTAGCTCATGCCTTATTCTACGACCAAACTCATGACAATCCGGCTGCAGCTGAAAAGCGAACAATTTATGATTATCTGCCAACGGCCGCCATGATCAGCATGACTTACTGTGCAGCGGCTTCGACTAGAGGATACGATGAGTTCATTCCTTATCATGTAAGGGAATTTTAGGTTTTTGGGATGGATTTTATGGGAGAGAGGTAGATTTTATGGCGGAGAGGTAGATTTTAGAGGGAGGGGTAAATTTGAAGAAAAAGTTTTTTAGGTAACACTAAGTTTTAAAACCTTTTTTGTTAGGTAATCAAGAATTTGAGGAAAAAAATTTTTTTTGAGTTTTTAGGTAACAATTTAGATATTTTTTGCAATTTTTTCATTTTTATAAAGTTTTTTTAAATTTATGTGTAATGAACCTTCTCACCACCAAAATACTGTTATAGATCCACGTAGTCAACGAGAAGCGCCCATACCGAAAATGGTCAGAAATCCAAGCCAATCCCAGTCTAAAAGGCCTAATTCATGCAAGGAAGAAGCTGAACGATCTCCACGTCGAACTCTGTGATCTAGGCTACTCGGAAGTGTTTGTAGACCAGTATAATGTGGACGTTGTAGCCATCACAAGGCATAATCCAGTGACTAGAGAGTCGGTGTTGGTCATTTCTCATTGCTGCTTTGGGGATTTTAAATGGAAACCAGATAACAGTGATCATAAGGGTATTCCGGTGGAAGGTAGGGCTGTTTTTCAGTTTTTGAGGGTGTTTTTGGGCGTGGTAATTAAGGTTTTTGGGTTTAAAGAGGGTGTTTCTGTTTTTTGACGGGTTAGAAATGAAGATTTTTAGATTTAAAAGAAGTTTTAAGGTCAAATATGACTTTGTTTTTACGTTTATAAGGACTATTTTGGTCTTTAAAATAAGGATTTTTAATTTTGAAAGGTTTTTTGGCTTCTAAAACCAAAATTTTTAAAAATTTTTTTAAAAATTTACAATGTTTAACAATGTTTCATCGAGTTACCTTCATTTTATACAATTTTAGACACGATAACAGAGATTTTGTTCGAGTTAAAGACGGTCGAAGATGGTTCAAAGCAAAAAGAAGCTCAAGATGGAGACAAAGTACTAAGCGGAGTTCAGAACATTGCAGTAGAAGTCTATGAACATGTACCAATAGACAAGAGTTTGGCTGTTAAAATTGAAAATGGCGTTATTATGTTCCAAAATTTCCCGTCTGGATCGGTTATTGGACTAAAGTAAGGGTTTGGGGAGGGGAATATGGATTTTAAATGAATTTTATTTGGAAAGTTTAATTAAAATGGCAATAAAGGGTTGGAATTTTGTTTTGACTGCACAGTGCAGTCATATTTTATTTTAATTTTTTAAGATGAACTGTTGTTTTGATGACTACCTGATTGATTTATAGAATAGTATTAGAGATCTGTGTAAGAAAGAATTTTTGAAAAATGTAAAAAATGTCATTTTAGGATAGTACCAAAGCCTACAACTCTTCAAAGCTGCCAAGAAATTGATAACTTTGCCGCAAGTCAAAAACTAGCTGATGAATTACAAAATGCTTTACTTGAATTAGATCTACAGTCTCTGAATTACATTTTGTTTTACTGTGAAGCGGAAGAAGGAACTCAATTTGGCGCTGGAGGGTATAATATTCCAGGTATGTTGTTGTAGGCAATTTTTGAAAAAGTTTTGGTTTTTAGAGGATTATGAAAGGTTTTCGGAGCTGAATTTGGTAAAAACATTAATATTATGGAATGCTTTTTCAAAAAAAATTTTTCTTATTTTGAAAAAAAAAAGTTTTTTTTGAAATTTTTAAAAATTTATTTTCTTGACTTTCTAGGCTACGGAAACCTTGTCTACTGTGGCCTAAAAGGCGTAGAAGCCTTATTAAGAAAAGTACAAGCCCACAATGACCTAGGCCATCCATTATGTGGCAATTTGAGGTCAGGAACATGGCTACCGAACTACATTGTTGGCCGACTAAAGAGACTCGAAAAACTTCAAAAAGTGGCAAATGTATTCGAAAAAGCGTTCAAATCCTTGGATTCAATGCCATCTTTCTTGAGACCGTGCTATTTTGAAGAGATATTTACAGTGTTATATCAGGTGGTCGAGACCACCGTGCTTAACAAACTTGGGTAGGTTTTTAGAAAAATGAAAATGGGGTTTTTAGGCCTTTTATTGTATCTAAAATATTATTTTTGAGGCAAGTGTTTTCAATTTGACATTACAAATGTGATGAGGCTTTTAAAAAAGTTTTCTCGTTTTTTTGGTTGAAAAGTAATATAATTTGACGGCAATACTTTTTTGAAATTCGAAATATGCTTATATGCCATTTTTCGAAAGTAAATTTTTTTGTCTGCTTTTTAATGTCATAAAATGACATTTTTTAGCTAGAAATGTCATGATTTTTTAGTTTTTTAATTTGCCATTTCTTTTCAGCTACAAATCAATCCTCCCTCTAAACGCTGAAATCGCAGAGCAACTTGCACTAGCCTCAATTTCCCTTGTATCAGCTATCAAAGATGCCCAACTTCCTCCACTACACGATGAAGAAAAGATCAAAGACGACCCACCCTCTCTAGCTGCTGGTCTACCTCACTTTTCAACCGGAATCTGGAGGAATTGGGGTCGTGACACCTTCATCTCACTCCCAGGCCTTCTTCTAAGCTTGGGCCGGTTTGTCGAAGCCAGACAGCTTATCTTGGCCTACGCTGGGACTCTCCGCCACGGCTTAATCCCGAATTTACTGGCTGAAGGCAAGGCGGCCAGGTACAACTGCAGAGATGCGGTCTGGTTTTGGTTGGCTGCCATTGTGAAATATGTTCAGAAATCGGACGAAGCAGATGCTTTCTTCAATGCTAAGGTGTTGAGATTGTACCCGAATGATGATAGTGAGCTGACAACGGATGTGGTGGGTTGGATTTGAGGTTTTGGGGAGGTAGAGGGGTTGGAAAAGAGGGCTTTTATAGGTTTTGGAGGGAAAGATCGACGTTTTTAAGTGTTTTAAGAGAGAAATTTTTTAGATTAATATTGTCTATTTTTCAGACCGAACCCCTCCACCAAACCATCATGACTGCCTTGAATCGTCACTTTGAAGTAATCGAGTTCAGAGAACGAAATGCTGGCTCAAGAATCGACGAACACATGAAAGACGAAGGCTTCAATATCAACGCCAAAATTTGCCAAGAAACCGGTTTAATAACTGGAGGAAATCAGTTCAATTGTGGCACATGGATGGACAAGATGGGAAGCTCGGAGAGGGCCAACAATCGCGGACTGCCGGCTACGCCAAGAGATGGAGCTGCGGTTGAGCTACAGGGCTTGGCTTTGTTTGTGGCTGAAGGACTGGCGGAGTTTCATAAACAAGGGAAATTTGAATATAAGGGTAGGTTTGGGTGGGAAAACTGAAGCAGTTATTGGATATAAAAGAAGGTTTTGGTAAGAAAAGGTTTATAAATGGCGTTTTGTTTTGAAATTTTATGATTTTTAGTGAAATTATATTGTTATAGGCCTAAAAACCTCATCAGGACAAGAATGGACCTTCACCGAATGGGCTTCAAAACTACGTCAAAGCTTCTACGACAAATTCTATGTCCAACCAGATTCACAAGAAGAGTTTGTGAACAGAAGAGAGATCATCAAGGACAGCTACGGCTCCACTTTCAAGTACACCGACTTCCAACTACGCCCCAACTTTTGTATCGCTCTAAAATACGTCCCAGACATTATTGATCCGAAACTAGCGTGGAAAGCCCTGGAGCAGGCTTCACAGTACCTGAGAGCACCATTGGGTATCAAAACGCTGGACGAAAGTGACTACAACTACAATGGCAATTATGATAATGATAACGATGGATACGACCAGAAGATTGCCAAGGGGTGGAATTATCATCAGGGACCGGTAGGGGGTTTATATGAGTTTTAGGGCATCTTACGGACTTTAAGTTTTTCAAAATTTTATGTTGCACTTTTAGCATAAGTTCGTATTTTACCTAGGAATGGCATCTTTTGTTACTCAAAAATCAAAAAGTTTATTTTTGTTACCTAAAATTGATAAAAATTGAACTTTGCTACCTAAAACCGATAAAAATCGATATTTGTTACCTAAAACCAATAAAAATCGATATTTGTCATCTAAAACCAATAAAAATCTAATTTTGTTACCTAAAATTAATAAAAATTGAACTTTTATTATATTGTTCTAGGAATGGCTGTGGGTAGGCGGCGAATACTACAGTGCACGTCTCGCAGTAGCCAATCTATTAAAAAAAGAACAACCAGAAGCATGGCAAAAGGCATGTCAAGAAGTAAAGGAACAAGTTCAAGTCTACTCGAACTTTATGAACAAGGAATCGTCTTGGTCGTCGTTACCTGAACTGACAAACAGAAATGGTGCACATTGTCCACATTCATGTGAAAGTCAGGCCTGGAGCATCGGATGCTTCATTGAAACGCTGGAGATTTTGAACAATAATTTGGGGGATTAGAGGGTTAGAGAAGGAGGTATAGGTAAAGAGGAGGAGGTATAATTTAATATATTCAAAAGAGGTACATGTTAATATAAGCTTAAAAGAAGGGTTTTTCAAGTTGTTTCTTTTAAATTTAGGTTTATTTTTTATGGTTTTTGATTATTTTTGTGTTTTCTTGGATGTTTTAGGTATATATTGATTACTTTTTTCTATTTTTAGGGCTTTGTATTCATTTTTTTTTTTGAATATTCGCGCTTTCGATCTAGTTTTAGGTCTGAATTTTGGAGTTGTATAGCGTTTTTTATTGATTTAGTCCTACATCATTTTTGATTTTTGTGCGGTTTTTATAAAAATCAAGCTTGGCGTCGATAAAACATGTTGTTGTACGTCTCTCTTTTTAGCCATTTTTGAGTTTTCTTGTGATTTTTATGTAGGGTTTTTATATTTTTCAACTTGTTTTATTATTTTGGAAGTATTTAGATTTTAGAAGCTTGTATCTTGTAGATATAGTAATTACTCATTGTGATTTTTATAGTTTTTTCAATTTTTTTATATTTGTAGTTGATAAAATTTTGATTTTCTTTAAATATTTGGGCTTTGCTAGGCTGGCTGCCACATTTATGGCTATCTGCTGTATTAAATAGTAAATTGTACGTCTATGTGCCATAGTTTTTGAAATATAGTATTTTGTCTTTTCAACAATTTTTCAAAAGTGCCATTTTGATTCGTTTACTTGTGCTATAGTCTTTAACAACTGGTCAATTTCATATATTCGAGTGCCATTTTTAATGAGATATATAGGAACAAAGAGTTTTATTTCCATTGCTATTAGATATACAAAAGTATGCAGCTGTAAATTTGTCTTTTGAAATAAGCTAGTAACGAGGTTAACTTTAGGCTTGTGATAGGTTAAAATAGACTTGTATTTTAGCTCAACATAGTTATATATATTAATCTATATTGTCGTATTTTCGAAGAAATAAACTTTTATTTTTAAATGGAATTTATTAGTTTGTTTGAGCTATGAAAAAGTTGACATACTTTGATGATATTTGTAAAATACGATTGAGGTTTTTTATGGGGTTAAAAGTATTCGGATAGAGACGTATAAAATTATTATTTGATTTTAAATTGAACTTTTTATGATAGTATACTATAGTTTTTTGGCTTTAAATGTCACTTATTGTGTTTAATTGAAGTTTTTAGGCTTTAAAAAAGTCTTGTCACTTTTTAACGTGCAAAGCAATGAAAATCAACGACAAGACTTTTGACATTCTTATAATTTTAAAACTTGGCGATTTTTGATAACATTCAGGGCCGGGCGGGGACTTTTGGTCTGGGGGCACGGGTCCAAAAAATCGGCACAGTTAGCTACCTGTGCCGATTTTTTGCAAAAATTTTTTTCCAAAAATCCACAGGGGGACCACGTTCAAATTTTTTCGAAAATTTTTTTCTGGGGGGGGTACCCCTCCCTCCGTTCCCCCCTCGCGCCCGGCCCTGATAACATTAGGTTGTTCAATTAATTCTGGGATCCTTCTCAAAGCAAATGTTTAGGATTAGAGATACAGAATTATTTGAACGATTTAATATTGTTGTACCGTCGATAGACTAAATAATAAAGAATTGATTAGTTTTAGAATGTCAGTCGAAGAACCCGTCTTTAAAAAGCCGCGTTTGCCTGGAGAACGAGATGAAAATGAGCAAAACATTGGCCAGAAAGTGGAAGAAAAAGGTAAATTTTTCAATTTCAGTCTTATAAAAGGCATGTAAAAGTGGTAACTTGTGTTAGCTTGATCAAAAAGAACCTAGAAACTAATTTATTGATTAATTTTGTTTAGTTCGTCTAGTATAATATCCATTTTTAGTGTTAAAATACGAAGAAACCTACCTTCGCTCGATTCCGGCCGCATCCCAATATGAAAAGTCGTTCATGCACAGAGATGTCATTACTCACGTTGTGTCTACAAAGTAAGTTGGAAGTGATAAGAAGGAAAGATTAGAAATTTTGATTTTTAGTACTTTGAAGCAAAACGAATGGCGTATTTTATGTTATTTTACCTTCACTTGAGTCATTTGTAACATTAAAAAGTTTTGTCGTTTTCCAAAGGGAGAAACAATGAAAATTGGCGACAAGACTTTTGGCAGTTTAGCTTTTGTTTAAAGAAGTTAATTTTTACGGTCTCATAGATCCTATGACAATGTATTGATAGTATTTTCTTGTTTTTGATGTTATGATAGCCTATTGAACGTATTTCAGGACTGATTTTGTGATAACAGCCAGTAGAGATGGGCACCTCAAGTTTTGGAAGAAGAAACACGCTGAAGGAATCGAATTTGTGAAACATTTTAAATGCCATTTGAGTGGGTTTTGTTACCTAAAATTTGATTTTTTTAAATTTTTTAGGTAGTTAAAAGGGTTTGAATTTAAAAAAATTTAATAATTTTGAAATTAAAATATATTATGTTTTCATGATCGTATTTTACAACTTCAAAATTTCAAAAACCAACTTTCAGACCCAATCCAAGAGCTAGCCGTCAATCACAATGGCACCCTGCTAGCTACCGTGTCTTCAGAAGACAAAGCTCTAAAAATCTTTGACATTCCCAATTTCGATATGATTAACATCATAACACTCGACTTCAGGCCATCCACAGCCACATGGGTTCATCAAGGATCGGATATTGTACAAGCATTGGCAGTAGCCGACTTGGATTCGCCTAAAATTGTGATTCTAGATGGCAAAGGATCAAACGAGCCGCTTCACTCGATGGAAGATCTTCACTTCGATCCGGTCAGGATTATCCAGTACATTCCGAGCTTGAATATCGCTGTTTCTGTGGATACTGGTGAGGATTTTGAAGCTTTTCTTGATTTGTAAGCTTATATTGACTTGGGCTTCTTACATAATATGAATCTTATTTTATATTTGGTTTGTTTATTTTAGGTTCATATTGAGCTTCTTTTCTATTATAATATTAGGCTTATATTGAGCTTCTTTCACAATTTTAGGTTTCTTTTTTATCAGTTTTGGCAATATTAGGCTTGTATTGATTTTTAAAATATTTTTAGGTTCATATTGAGCTTTTTGTATAACTTTAGGCTTATATTTAGCTTTTTTGTAAGTGTAGGCTTATATTAAGTTCGTTTTCAATTTTTGGCTTATTTTTACTTGTTATGAAAGTTTTAGGCTTGTTTTAGCTCTTTTTATAATTTGTTTGCTTATTTTAAGTTTTTTTAGGTTTTAGGCTTATTTTAGATGTTTTAAGGGCTTTAAATTTCAGTTTTGTTTTAACGGTTGTTTTGTGTATTAGGCTTATTTAATGACATTTTTAAACTTTGTAGCTTATTACTACAACTGTATTTGTTTTAGGTTTATTATTTTTATTTTAGGCTTATTTTTTTTTGAATTTCAGGTGGAATGTTTGAATTCTGGGGCGGAGCCAAGCTCAACTTCGAATTCCCTTCATCCAAACTGGACTGGGAGTACAAAACCGACACTGATCTCTATACCTACGCTAAACTCAAGATTTGCCCTCAAAATCTGACTTTCTCACCCTCAGGCGACAAATTCGCAGTTTGGGGCAAAGATCGCATAATTAGAGTGTTTGACACTTTGACCGGTAAGGTCATCAAATCCATGGATGAAACGCTGAATAAATATATTGAGAAGGCCAAGGATAACAAATTTCATGGCCTTCAGAATATGGAATGGAATCGAAGGGTAGCATTGGAGAAGGATTTGAATAAGGAAGAGGGGGTGTTCAACAACCTCAAGATGAGCTTCGACTTCTCCGGAAACTTTTTGATCTACCCTACTCCAATTGGAATTAATGTAAGGTTTTTGGGGGCAGGGCCGGCCAGGGACTTTTGGTCTGAAGGTGGGGGTCGAAAAAATCTACAGTGGGGACCAAGTTCAACTTTTATCGAATTTTTTTTGGGGGGGAAATATAAAAAAACTCCGTTTATCCCCCCCCAGCGCCCTGCCATGGGGAGGGGTGATTTCAATGCGAAGGAGGGGTGCTTCTCTTGTTTGATGGTTTTTTTAAGTTTGAATAGTATAATCAATTTTATCAATACTATCTAAAACAATCAATTTCCAGGTCTACAACTTAGTAACGGACAAGGTGGTTCGAGAAATTGGCAAAGGAGAGAACGCACGATTCATGAGTGTTGCCTTGTGTAGAGCCATGTTAGACAGCCGAGAGCTTCTTCAAGGAGCAGCGACATCGTTGGAAGTGGAGGCGGCTGATAACCCGAATTTGAAACGGGCCGAACCTGATCCCATGCTGGTAGGTTTTTTTATTTTTTTTAATTGGGGGTGATGGGGGTAATAATTTTTTTTGGTGGTGCAGTTTTTTATAATTAAAAATTTTTGAGATAGACTTACGATGGGCGTGTTAAAAAATATTTTTTGATGGGGGTGGATAATTTTTTTTAATTTTTAGTATAAGGCTGAGGGGCGGTTAAAAATTTTTTATCTGGCTTTGGGTATGGTAAATTCTTTTAAGAATTATGATGGGCGGGGTACAAAAAACTTTTTTTGATGGGGGTGGACAATTTTTTTTTAATTTTTGTTAAAAGACTGAGGGGCGGTTAAAATTTTTTTCTGGTTTGGATATGGTAAATTTGAAGTTTTTGAAAGAATCATGATGGGCGGGGTAAAAAAAATTTTTTGATAGGGGGTGGATAATTTTTTAAATTTTTCTTTGAAAATCAAAAAAACTATTTTTCAGATAGCCCTAGCCTACAAAAAGCACCGCTTCTACATTTTCACGAATGCCGAGCCCTTCAACACCGAAGAAGAAGAAGAATCCGGCTCGAGCCGAGACGTCTTCAATGAGAAGCCTCTAAAAGAAGAAACGATCACAGCGGTCGAAGAGGACACGCCTCAATCGAAACTTTGTGATCAAGCCATCATTCACACCTCGTATGGGGATATTCATGTAGAATTATATCCGGACAAATGCCCGAAAACGGTCGAAAACTTTTGCACGTTGGCTAGAAGAGGATATTACAATAGCCACACGTTTCATCGGGTTATTAAGGCGGGTTTTGTCTTGTTTTGAAAATACAGTATGACTGTGAACTGATAATACTTACTTCTAACCTTTTTGTATTAAAGAATACCTATAATAATATAATTTTAGGCCTTTATGATTCAAACCGGCGACCCGACCGGCAAAGGAACCGGCGGCCAATCGATCTGGGGCCAAGACTTTGAAGACGAGTTCCATCCCCTACTCAAACATGACAAACCCTACCGTTTATCCATGGCCAATGCCGGCCCAAACACGAATGGATCTCAATTCTTTATCACCGTTTGTCCGGCCGACTGGTTGGATGGCAAGAACACCTTGTTTGGGCACGTTACTGAAGGATATAATGTGGTACAGAAGATCAACGATGTTCCAACGCATGACAAGTCTGGCAGACCGAAGAAGGAAGTTACTATCATTTCTATATCTTTGAAGGTGGATTAGTTACTATGGTATTGTTTCTACATTTTTAATGGTTGATTAGTTACTATCATATCATAGTTTTGGTGTTTGATTGGTACAATATCTGTCTTTAAAGATAACTTTGAATTTCACGTTTTTACGGCAAAGCATTGATTATATTGTTGTGTTTTACAGTAGAATACAAGGCAAATGTTTGGCATCTCACATAATTTTTCTTAAATTTTAATGTCACTTTGATTACTCGTATTGTTGGGGTTCGTCAACTAATGTTAAATAAATTATTGTAGACAGGAATTACTTGGTCAAGTTTATTGAATGGTGCTGTTGGGATATGGTATATCATTTGTAATAACCAGTATGATTAAAAATGGTCTGCAAGCTTCAGAAACAAAAAGCGTTGTTGTTTCTGAAGCTTGTTTTATATTATAATAACGTGGTTCTTACTTTCTTTACCACGCTTTACCTTGGTGGTAACAGAAGCGTTCGTCCAGAGGGCATTTTGCCTTGTGTTCAATCACTGGACAACACTACACAATGCATTTCAAACTCTTTTAAACAAATCTCGTTTATAAAAAACAAATTTAAAATTCTCAAGCAATTTGTTATACAAGAGTTTTGCTCAGAGTTCATAAGGGCCGCGGAGCCGGAGATTAAATTTATGAAAGGCGGAGTCCAAGCCACTAAATGTTGAATTTTTGTACTAGTTGTCGCGTTGGTAGCGCAGTGGCTGTGGCGCCGCTCGCTATTCGGAAGGACCTTGGTTCGACCCCGCGCACCGCCCAACCCAGGCGCCTTGAGGAATGGGTAGTGCTGAGTGCACGGGGACTAGGCACATCTATACTTGGCCTACACGAGTATATGATTGAACGCCAGAAGTCTTATGGAGCACCTCACCCACGACTCAGTGACGCGAGAAACAGTGAAATACCTGGGGAGAGGCCCAATTATGGGAAACGTCAGACTCAAGGATTGCTCCGTTGGTCTTCATCTGAACCTTGAACATCCTTGCACATCAGCACAGTACGTTACAATCTACGGCATCAAACTACTAATCTAATCTATATCTCCCGAATTGTAATTGTAGACGCTTGAATATGTAAAGTAAATAAAATAAATAAATAAGGCTCCCGGAATCGGGGCTAACATTTAAAAAAACGGCGGAGCTGGAAATTTTAAAGTTGTGAATATAGTTGCACTGGGATAATTTTACTCTGAAGTAATCGTTTTTAATGTTTTTTAAGTATAAAAAAACTAAAATAAATTTTATAAAAATTTTTATTTTTTTGATTTTTTTAAAATTTTTTTAGAAACATTGAAACGAAAATAAAATGAAAAAAAAGACGTCATTCTTACTATTCTTTCCACAAAACTTGGTTTATTTTATTTTTGTTAATAAGATAAACGTTGTGAATCAAAAAGAATGGCCTTCAGACGTCGTACATCGGAGCAAAGTCAGCGTGAACAAGATTTGGATTGTGAAGGGCCATCTCGGGTAGGTTAATATAATTTGGACTGGAATTATTATTTTAGCTTCGGCTAAAGCTAAGACTTAGTCTGAGACTAGGACTAGAGCTAAGGAAAGAGATAAAGCTAGGACTTGGGCTAGACCTGAAGCTAGAGCAAGGGCTAGGACCAGGGCCAGAGCTACGGCTAACCTTAGGGCTAAAACTTGGGCAATAGCCAGAACCAAGACCAAAGCCAAGGCTAAAACTAGGGCTAGGAGCAGAATCAAGATTAGGGTCAGTGCTCTAGGGCTGAAGCTAGAGCTAAAGTACAAATTTTTTAAAATTTTTAAGTATTTTCAGCCAGCCATAGTACAGCACTCCCTACCATCTAGAATATCTCGCTACGTTCTCCGCCGCAAAGTATGTCAAATCACGATGGTTATTGCCTTAGTCTTGGCTATGATTTTTGCTCCAATGTACTACTTTACCTATGTTATACACCGAACGTTGGAATTTAAAAAGTTCGTTTTGGATCGACAAGCGTGGATGGCTGAGAACACGATGAAAAAATCACAAGCTTTTTTGCACGAAGAGTTCTGTTTGTACTACCCGAACATTAGTACTAGTGTTGTATGTTGGTTTTAAAAAGGGGGGAGAGGAGGAAGGGGGAGAGGAAAGGGTGGTAAAAAAATGTTTTTGAAATATCAACAAGGAGTACCACGTTCAAACTAAAAAAAATGAAAATTTGTGGTAGAGGGAGTAGGGCGTGGTAAAAAATAATGGTAGGGGGAGGAGGGGTGGTTTTTGTTTCTCTCTATCTTATTGGAAATAAATTTTGACTTTCAGGACGCCTGCAGAACCCAATGCGGACCTCATGCCTATGTTCATGTAGAACACGAGCTGATCAGCACTTTGGAGAACCCGATTTTGTGCAATAGTAAACTTGAATTGGTTGGTTAATATTATTTTATAGTTTTTCATTAGAAAATGTATTGACTAGGGCTAAACCAAGGCTTGGCCAAAGCTAAACCAACTATAGGCCAAAGCTTAGTTAAAGCTAAGTCAAAGATAGGCTAAAGCTAAATAAAATCTAAGTCACGAATAGACCAAATATGGCCAAGGACAAGCCAAAGATAGGCCAAGGGTGGGGCTCTGGGCTATGGCGCTGGGCTAGGGCTTTGGGCTAGGACACTGAGCGAGGTCTCTGAGCTAGAGCTCTGATATAGGGCTACAACTAGAGCTAGCATAAATTTGCCACTTTCAGAGCCCATGTTTCAAGTCATTAAACAAGTCAAAAGGCTGTATTGATGAGAAACTCAAGAAAACTATCTCAAGCACTTGTTTGAACAAAAACCAAATTGTACCATGGGATATTTATGCAAATGCGAATAAAACAAACTTTAAAAGGCTATATATGCCTATCATCACAAACGACAAATTGAAAAGCCTGCAGGGACAAACTGTCTTTGCTCATCAGTTGGTTGTCAAATGCCCTATGTGAGTTTGAAAGTTTGGTTTTTGGCTATAATTATTTCGTTAGACCGGATTTTTCAAAAAATTGAAATTTTTTTTTGAAATTTAAAAACTTTTTGGAATTTTGAAATTTTTTTTTGAAATTTGATTTTTTTTTGAAATTTTGGATTTTTTTAAATTTTTTTAAAAATTTTTGAAATTTTAAACTTTTTTTCGAAATTTTTAATTTTTAAAACTTTTAATTTCAGCTGCAGCAAAAGATTCCAATCATACCGTTTGAACGACAAATCAGAGTGCTATACCAAGTATTTCAAAGCGGAAAAAGGGCTGCCAGAATCGGCTGACACTTGTGGAGAAGCCTTCCTCGATCGGTCGGATTTTACTCTAACTCCAGAGAAAAAAGTTCATAAAAAGTGTCCTGTTGTTGAATAAATATACTATACGTTAGTTGTTACAATTGGCTGGCTACTCCACTCGTAGCTTTTGTTACTCTACCAGCGGTGGAGCCAGAGTCAGGGGCGCTGGTGCTAAGCCTTACTATGTTCTTGTGGATCAAGGGGGCTTAATAGTAGTATAAGACAAATCCTATCTTCAGTAAGATAGGTGCTACCATATCTTGCAAGCCTCAGAAGCTTCCAGAAGGAATAAGTCAAACTTTGGGATAAACAAAGGTGGCTCATCTTCGGTCACGAGACAGCACGACCTTTGGACCTACTTCTTGCCACATGAATGGCCTCAACCTCAAGCCAAAGATGCCTACGCATCATATCCAACTCACGTGGACAAGCCGCGAGCCCTGCTCACCACGTGACGTACTCGCTCACTGAGCCTGTCGATCAATCCAGGAATTCCACACCACCAAGCCTGCAGCACAATTCCCGTTCCCGCACCGCCTGCCCTTTGCCGCCGTTCTACTTGTATTACCTATTGTGATCACTGTTGTTATCATTAGTGTATTTGATTATTGAAGCTAATAAATATTTGTACCGTACACTGTTTGGAGTTGATTAAACCTAGGACCCATACTTGAAGTCCAAATCCACCGATTCGTCAGCCCAAGCACCGAGCCGGAAGGAAAAACAGCCTAAGCTCCGAGTCCAAACTTAGCTATTTTACTGGTAGCAGCGAGTGGTTTATTCTCAACTGCCCTATCACGCCGATCGACACCTACCGAAGACTCAACATGCCCAACGCCACCGCCCAGCCCACTTCACAAGAATCCCTCCTCAAGCTTTTCGACCCCAGCATGAACACTACTTTGATTGGAATACCCAGCATTCCTGACATCCGTAGCCTGCTAGAACGCATGCTTACAGACAACCGCAAGATGACCCAAATAGTCGCCCGTGAACTTCGACACTTTAGGAATGCCCAGCAGAAAACCTCTCTTGACACTGACAGCGCCGACCTTTCAACGTGGTCATCATCGCTGAACCGCTCCTTGACAGAAGTAAAGCCCAAGTTGGCCATTGTAGAAAATCTACAAAACGAAGCCAAGCAAACCTAAGCCACACTACTTTCTCTCCATCGCCACCGTGAAGCCGATGGAACTAAGATTGGAAAAGCCCTCCACGGCTCCAAAGACGCCCAAGGTGGAACCTTGGCGCTCAGGTCCCTTTACACAATACTTAGTACGAAGATAAATACCATCCAAGATGCCCTAGCAGCCCACGTCCAGTGTAACGGCACCTGCTTTTTGGAAGACATGTCCATGGAAGGTTCGAACACGTCAACAATACTGAATGCCACCTCCCCAAAAAATAACAAGACGGCCTTTGTCACCAGTCTAGAGTGCGGTGGCCTGCTAAAACCGTTTTCGGCCAACGGAGACCTAACGTTTCCAGAGTAGCTATCCAAATTCGATGACTACCGTGACCAGCAGACAGTACCCTGGGAAAATGACATCACCGTGAAAAAGCTACGTATGTTTCTCACTGGTGAACCACGAGATCGCCTGCTTAAAATTCAATTTGGCGAACCCAATGCAGAAGGAGAACCAACTTATAGAACCTACGATGAAATCCGCTCATTGCTCCTAGATTCGTACCGCAAAGACGGCGGCCAAACTATTGCCCGCTCAGAACTCGCCGTTCTCAGGCAAAAACCTGAAGAGTCAGTTTCCCAGTTCCTGCAACGCCTCGCCCGTCTTGTCGCACGCTTAGACCCCGAAGCCTCTACAACGGTCAAGGAAAAGCGTGTCTTTGAGAGTTCATGAGCCGAGTAAAGGACAGCATTGCCATGCCTTTACGCTTGTCCGTTCCCCAAAAATTTGGAACAAGGGCGAGCCAAAGCTTTGGCTATTAAAAGCATCAACACGGCAAACAAAGAACAAACCCAAACCCAAGCAAAAGATGAAACTCAGTCCGTTTCCGCTCTGGCCCCGGCTCCAGACTCTCCTCAGCCTAAACCAACTGCCGTTACCGCAAAACAACAAGAAGAAAATCTCCTACGACAAAAGAGAGAAAGACTCCTTGGTCTACCGCAGTCTCAAACTTCGTTATCCATCACTACCATTCTCCCTTCTTTTCGTGTCCTAACTGTACTGCCACTTCTGTTGATCGTAGCAGTCGCACAGGCAACACCACTTCCCATGATATGCCAAAATACCTATGAACGAAAGTTAGTCCGACTTCCTGCCCAGCCGAGCTGTCCCGACTTGGTAGTTCAGCCTGGTGCGAAACCAGCCCCTGTCATGCTTGACATTTACAAATAAAATTCGGTTTTAACCGATACTCCTGCCACGGCTTGTCAAATTTGGAAACAAAAGCAGCGACATCCTTCTCCCCATTTGACGTTTCCCTCAAGAAGATCATTTCTTCTCCAAAACTAGAAAAACTGTCCACAGAGTTCCTTTCTACCTCGGCCCTATCAAACGGCCCTGCTTCTTCTCCTCGGCCAATTATACCATCTTCATTTAAGGATCGACACACTCCTCCGATTCGCTCTCCTCGCCTTCAGCATGATATCCGTCAATCTCGTTACCGTCAGCCTCATCCACCTCGCGATCAACATCTGATTCTGACCGATCATCCGCCTGTTCAGACTCGCCATAGTAACGAACATCGACATCACTCACTTCTTCATCCTCCACTGACGACACGCTATAACTTGCCGGCGACAAGCTGCTCACTGAAGAACTGGAGTCTTCAGAAGAACTCCAGCTCTCAGAAGACGAGCTGCTTTCATATGGAGGGTCATCTGTCGGTTCAAATGACTCCGGCAGTTTCTCCTCCTCCAGCTGTCTCTGGAGCTCCAACTTCAGGTTGGCCAGAGACAGCACAAGGGCCGCACCCAAACGCAGCCTCTCTATAACAAAACGACATAATAATAACAAACAATGCAATGCCCCCTACACTTTCACAGTAAGATAGGTGCTACCATATCTTGCAAGCCTCAGAAGCTTCCAGAAGGAATAAGTCAAACTTTGGGATAAACAAAGGTGGCTCATCTTCGGTCACGAGACAGCACGACCTTTGGACCTACTTCTTGCCACATGAATGACCTCAACCTCAAGCCAAAGACGCCTACGCATCATCTCCAACTCACGTGGGCAAGCCGCGACCCTGCTCACCACGTGACGTCCTCGCTCACTGATTGGCCACGACGCCGCAACTTTTCAAGCCTCCGCCCACTCGCAGCTCTATATAAGCCAAGCCTGTCGATCAATCCAAGAATTCCACACCACCAAGCCTGCAGCACGATACCCGTTCCCGCACCGCCTGCCCTTCGCCGCCGTTCTAATTGTATTACCTATTGTGATCACTGTTGTTATCATTAGTGTATTTGATTATTGAAGCTAATAAATATCTGTACCGCACACTGTTTGGAGTTCATTAAACCTAGGACCCATACTTGAAGTCCAAATCCACCGATTCGTCAGCCCGAGCACCGAGCCGGAAGGAAAAACTAAGCCTAAGCCCCGAGCCCAAACTTAGCTATTTTACTCTTCTTGGCTTTTTGACCGACTGAGACGGGAACAAACCCGAAAAGACTTAACAGTAGTCTAGGACAAGTCCATCGCTTCTTGACTTACCCTATTAGGCTGCCTGACTAAACGGCTCTTCAAGAGGCCGCGATCTCTTGCTGAAGAAGGCGTAGAAGCCAAACCGCGTAGGCTGATCTGTCTTTATTGGGGTGCGATCAGCCTATTTGGCCAGAAACTCCTTTGATCAGCCTGTTTGGCCAAAAACACGTTTACTTTAAACTTGTATGGGATTGTTTGGAAATTGATACTGTATTATTACTTTTAGCTCTCATTGCATTGTATACCCTTCTTTGATCGTACTGGTTGCTTTTTCGACGTATTCATCAATTCCTTTTTGATCGTCGATTCCCTCGGCAGCTAGAAGTTGTCCAGTAACTTGACATTTAACAATAAGTCTAAATTTTTCTCTATTTTTTAAATTCATTGTACTCTTTTAATAATTTTATTTTACCGTGTGTCATCGACATTACATTAACTTTACTTAAACAATTTTTTTTTCTCTATTGTTATAGTCTCATTCCAATTTGTTTACCAAGCTACAATATAAAAAACCCCTATCAACAACTTTATCAGTTTGTTAAGACAAACAACCCCTTATCGAAACAACCACTTTGTCCTCCTGATCTTTGCAACTCTAGAACAATGCAACAATTTAATTAAAAGTACTCCTTGCCCTTTGGCTCCTTCCTAATCCAACAAACTGTCAATTATCTTTATTGATAAAGCAATCAAACAATGGTTGACCCCTTATCAACAAATGCCGGGCGTTTTATTAACAGTTTTTATGCACTATCATAGACGATAAGATAATCAGGCTATCACCTTCTTCATCACTATATAAACCAATAACGACTATACGTTAACCACCCAGCAATTTGTACTTTACTGTGTCCGTGTACAACGTACTTGCTTCTAAAAATGGCTAATGAACGACGAATTATCCAACTGATCACACCAGCCCCAAATAACTGGTCTCCTTCCACATGTTCAGGATGGCACCCTACCCTTGATCATACAACAACACACGGAATGGCAAACCTAATCCACCCTACCGACAATAGCGTTCTGTATAACGGTAGCTCAACCCCAAGTGCTAATTTTAAGCGCAAAGACGCTAGGACCTCCGTCTGGAATTTTCACAACAACAAACTTGACGCGGAGAGAACACGTCGCCTTCAGTTGTGAAGTTCTAGGAACGACGCAGGTGGAAACTACGTTCATCAAGTTACGACAAGTGCCACCCCCAGCGCCAATCCCTGTGAAACGCCGCAATCTGGTTGCGGACCCACACACGCTCCCGTTTCAACTAGCACGTTACTTACACCCGCATATAGCGATAAAGGTCACATTCAACGAGACGGGCCAAAATTATGAGGCCTTTATGGCCGTGGTATCAGTAAACAACACTATCGTTCATGCTACAGCTACTACACCATACCCTGACCAAGCCGCTCAACAGGCAGCAGCTACATTACTGTATAATATGGCCATTTATGGTCACTATTCATATAGTCTGAGGCTGTTACACAACTGGTCCACTAAAGACATCATTACACAGGACCAGCTCACGACCCTTGTGGATCACTTCCTTTTCCTTCATCACACTTTGCACAAACCCCAAAAACAATTGCAAAATTTTTTGTCAACTTGTCGCGATAATCTCACTAAACACGGCTATTTTACCCCATTATTTTCACCCACTTACCCCACCGACCCACGAAATCACCATAAATTATAAAATTCGTCAAATATTTTAGTTAATGAGCTGATTCTGTAGATCCCGTTGATCCCCCATCAACGCGATCACTGTGCAGCACTAGCGTAAAGGGCTGCCAAACATCATACTGACGGGCCCCACCATATCAGACTACTCTTTGTAGTCTACTACACATCAAACCTATTCTAACCCAAGATTGTGAAGCCCCCTGAGCCAAAAGTACGAGCCTCTCCGTTTTTGTGAATTTTTGCCAATATGATAACGGTTTGGCCTCTTACTATTGAGTGAATTGGGACCTGGTCCCGCCTTTCGGCCCGTTTCTAAGGCCATAATTACGTCACCTAGAGGCTCCTTGAAGCCGTGAAAAGCGGGGCTTAAACTCGGTAAATGTATATCTTGGGACCCCTTGGGGTCGACACTGATGCAGACTGGATTTGGATCAATTTCCTTTTGTGACCCCTTAGGATCAAGACCGGCGAAGACTAGACTCAAACTTAGAGCTTTTTGCGGCCCCTTAGGGCATACCCTTTCCTTGGACCCGCTTAGGTCCGGCCCCTTCCCTGGGCACGACTCCCAACCCACTCAAAATTTGCCATTAAAAACTGGCTTAAAATAAACCGCAGTACGGCACGAAAACTGCCTTTCGAAGTGTGAAAACAAAACAGCGTCTTCTGATCAGAAAAGACGCTGGGTCGACCCCGAAAGCCGCCTGATCGGGCCTTTTTATCGGCGCAATCAGGCCACTTCTTCGTGCCCAGCCTTCTTGTCTTTAGTGGCCGGGCTCTCTCCCTTTTGCGGCCAGTTTCTCCGGTCAGGTGCGGGGGCCGAAGAATGCGATTCCTGTATTACAACGCAGCCCGAGTGCGGCCGCTTGAATACCGTAGGATTTGTTGTAATAAGTCGAGAATACCACGGTTGGTCAAGCTTTGATGTCTCATAAAAACACCAGCAATTACAAACAAATATCACCTCGGTCCAATGACATTGCTGATAAAAAGCTTTGTATGTTTCTCATTGGCCTATAAATCCGTAGAAGAAAACCTTGCTACAGTAAATCAAGTTATTAAGGCGATTGCATTATGGATGGATACACCAATACACTACACAACCCTCGCTATTAAAAATATAGTAATTTCCGAAAAATTGAATTCTAAATTATTTTTTGAAGTGCTAGAAAATATGCAGTTTTCTTATTGTTTTACTTACTCGTATCATCCCAAATTTTTTTGAGAGCATATCTATACGTCAAACTTCCGACATTACCTAATTGTGTTTTTATTGTGTTTCAAAGTAGCAGTGTGATTATTACTGGCCTAAAGTCAATGCTTGCTTGTAAGAAAGCCATGCTATGCTACATAATATTGGAAAGAAGCCTATCTGCCCAACATTAAAACAGTTTATTGACAACACAATTTCAATTTTGTAAAAAATCAACCGTTCCGACTTCTGTAGTGTAACTACTTGCTGAACTAGGTGGGGGATTCAAGGATTTGGTATTTGGGAGAAGCGCTTCCTAGCCAATTGTTCGCCACACGGGAAGACACATTACTCTCTTACGTTTCTTCGTTCCACGTCCATGAGTGTCCTTAGGTCTTGGAAAATATTTGATGTAATGGTCTGTAGTTCTGTATTCTTTAATTTACCTTCAAGTTGTCGTAAAGTCTGAATTGGAAATAACTTACCGTTCTTTGGGTCCTTTGAGGCGTTGCTGTTATTACCGTCTGTTCTCGGTGCTACCAGTGAAAGGGCAGGCGTAGGCGCTATTTGTAGCTGGGCTGCCCCGTCAGCTTTTTTACTGTAAAAATCAGGCCTAACTCGTTATTCTTTTATATAAAAATGTGAATTGGAAGGTTAGTCTTAATATTGCTAATTTCAGTGGTATTAGGTTTCATTTTAGTACTACACAAAATAGTCAAATATAGTCAGTTATTGTAGAAATACGAATATACGTCTTATCCAGGCGTTAATTTTCATCAAAAGTGAATAATATTAAACTAAAGATTATGTTTTCGGTTACGTGATACGCCGTCGGAATTCCACCTTATTACGAAGTTTAAAGTATATTGGAGCAATCATTTACGATCTAACGGCTTTGTTTCTTCTACTTTTGCTATTTGATTATATTATAATGTGTTATTAGAAATATTATCATGTGTTATTATGTTATACTCAACGGTTAGTCATTACGGTGCAAGTTCTTCTTATATATATGTATATGTGTGTGCACGGAACTGTAACTTCAAATACTATTATGTCTATGTATTTCTGTAGATAAGACAATCTTTAATCCGTCAAAAAGGTTCTTTCAAGACGCTTTTTTAGTTCGTTCACTAACCAGGTCATTATAAATGCTGACACTTGGCACATAATCCCCATCGTCAGTACGAATCCAGGACTCGGGCAATTTCTCCTCTTCAAATTGTCTAGTCATCTAGAGATTCAATTGAATGAGGGGCACTATAAGTTCTTTAATGGCTTCTTTAGTTTCTATTGTTAAGAACAAGTTCCAAGCTAGCATCATAACTAGAATTAAGCAAAGCGGTACCTTGTCCCTCTTTGGTTCCTGTTTCTATGGCCATAGTGGTATTATGTTGTGGATCCTTGGGACCGTGAGAGACGAATACTTGGCTCGCAATACTGACATCTTATGGCCCCTTGGGGTCAGTAGAAAGGCTAAGTTTGGGCTCGGGGCTTAGGCTTAGTTTTTCCTTTCGGCTCGGGGCTCGGGCTGACGAATCGGTGGATTTGGATTCAAGTATGTACATCTTCTGAGTCCGAACTGCTGTCGGAGCTGCTCTCCGAAGAATCGCTCATAGTTGCCGTCATCGGTTCTTACCCACGACTCGGGCAGCAACTTCTCTTGGAACTGTCGCTTCATCTAAAAATTCAGCCCAATTAGAGACAGCATTAAATCTGCGCTACGGCGAAGCTTCTCTGCAACCATTTAATAGCAAAGAGATCAATCAGCAAAACTATTGTACTGCTCTCACACAAACATACTGCTTAACAGATGAAAAACCATGCCATTAAATGTCTACACATTTACACAATCACTTATGACCATCTACTACCGAGCAGGTCAACCCTTGATCTTTCCCTTTAAAATTACCACGCATATCACAAAACAGCATATAAAGCTTCATTCCCCTCTTATTCTGCCCCTAATTCCTCATTCTTGGCAAAAATAACAAGAGAACAGCGTCTTCGATCAGAAGACGCCGGGTCGACCTCTAATCTGAATGCGACGTCCTTCTTATAGGCCTTATTTGGCCGTCTTCCGCGAACGCCGTCTCTTCCTATCAGACCGTCTTTAATATCGCCTTGGCCCCATCGGGTGATCGAGTGGGCGCGGACTTCGGACTATTACAATAGTCCAAATTCCTTCTTGGTTTGTAGGGGCCGTAATCCACTGCTGCTTGACTAGTAAGAACATTCTTCTGCCCATGCTGGACAAGTACTTTGTCTGGCTGGTAAGTCGGGCGTACTGCCTGCAGTTGATAATTAATATAAGTAATCTTGGAATCATCCTTTTTACGTATAGGATTTATAAAAAATAATTTAGTTAAAATTCAGGAACAGTACTATTTTACGTTTTTTAAAAATTAATATCACTACAATATATTCCTACAGTTGCTTTGTGTATTCCGCGATTGTGCTGACGTACTTGTAAGAGTCAGTATCTTCGTAGTGTGCAAGTTTTGACGTTGAAGGGCTTGAACGATGTTGGCCACACTGTCGTTTGTTTGGGAAGCAATGATGACGTAGCCCGAATCGGGCAATGAAAGCAAAGCTTTGACTGAGCGAGCCAAAGCCGTGGTTTTGCTAGTAACCGCGTAGGAATCGACGGCCAAGCTGTGGTTCCACGGTGTTCTGAATAGCAAGTTGTTGTTCTTCTGTCAGACTATTAAGAAATTTCTCATTAAGAGGCACGTCAAGCTTCTGGAACTTATTTGAGTGTTAGAAATTTCCACAAATTGCTATTACGAATAATTGGTTTGGACGGTAATGGCAAAATTCCAAAACCTGACTCTACGGAGTCAGGTTTCAAACTATTGAAACTGGTTCCTGTAAAGCGTAATGTTAGGGATTAAAAAAAAGAGATAGGGTAGCTTTTGGTCATTAGATACAGGTTTGGGCTTGACGCCTCTTCCTTTTTTGGTGCGTTCACAAACTTGGCCATTATGTTATGTTTTCTTTATAAACACTCAATTATTATTATTATTTATTTGCGTCAGATGAAAGTAAATTAAAACTAAAAAGAGCAAATTAAACGTTTTTTGCTGACGAAGTCGATGACTGATTCCTCGATAGCTTCCATATTCTAACAAAGACGCAAACAAACAGCAAAAGAATCCACCTACACCTAAATGAACGGCTATATTGTTGAACGTGCGCGAAAGAGCGTTGCACATTATGATCAACAAGCCAAATGTTTTGCATTATTTCTTTTTAAACAAATAATATATAGAAAGCTTTGTCAACATAGTCGTCTATGCCATTTTCTTTGTCGACTCCTTCACAAGCCAGTAGTTGTTGTAGTTTGGCTTTTGTTCTTAAAATTACGTTTTCCATTTTTAGTGCTACTTGTTTTTTGAGCAAGGCTACATTTAACTGGTTCTTGAAAGCTTAATCTTACTTCATTCAGGCTAGTTATATTTTTGATTACTGATGATTTTGTAGTTTTTGTGATTCTACCAGTGGTGGAGCTAGAGTCAGGGACGTTCGTACTGGGCTTTTTTCTTGTTGTGTAAGGGAATGAGGGAGAGACGGGAACAGACGAAAAAATAACACAGTAGTCTAGGACAAATCCTAGCTTCTTACACTTGACTTACTTTGAACGGCTGTACTGGCTGACTGGACCGGCTGATGTTGACGTGGATGGAATATCTGGGCTGCTGAACTGACGAGGCTGACGGATGGGCTTGCAAAATATGAGAATCAAATTGGGCCTGGACCCAATTTGAAGCGATCGATGTCGATACAGTGGCATCCATGCCTTTTGTATTCGACCAGACGGCCGGCCTTCTTGTCTTGGATTGTCCCCGGCTTTTTCAAGGGGCTGCGATCTTTTGCTGGAGTAAGCACAGAAGCCAGACCGCGTAGACTTATCTGTTGGCGCTCTCACCGGGGGTTCGATCAGCCAATTTGGCTGTTATTATACGTAGGATCATCATTATCAATACTAGATGACAATAGTTCATCTTTAAAACAATTACTACGAATTGATCATCTACATAGTTTATAACGGAATCCTCCAGTCCAGCTAAAACTGTAGTCATGGCTCTGGAGAATACGGCCGTTGCGTTAACTAATCCGAACGGGAGCCTTGTCATCTGAAAAAATGCCATAGTCAGTGATGACGCCACATTTCTGACTTGCATCTTCAGTCAATGATAGCTGCCTGTAGCCTAAGGCTACGTCAAGGGATGTGTAGTATTTGCAACCACCAATCTGGGTTTTTTACGTCTTGAATACGCGGCATCGGGTATCTATCGGGGACCGTAATTGAATTTACGTTTCTAAAGTCAATGCATGGACTTAGCCCCTGTCCTTTTTTCGGCCTACGACTATTGCTGATACCCAAGGAGTGTCAGAGGGTACCATAGCCTATTTAAAAGTTCATATGAGGGACCTTAGCTACGCCAAGGTCGTATTCGTGCTTTGCGAAAACATCGTCAAATCCATTGATCAAGTGCTTTAAAACCTACGACCGGTTGATAAATTAGTTCTTTAGGTGACATTAGTCTCACGCGTTCAGATCCAATCGTGGCATGGTGCACTTCCCAGTCAAATAGCAACGATTTGAAGTGTATCAGACCGTTGCAGCCAATTATCACATCATACGATGCGTTTACGAATTGCGGATTGTCGCTGAAACACATGGGGACAACCTGTTACAACTTATGTAGTTACTTTCTAAATTCACTAGCAAAGTCATACAAGATATAACATAAAATTATAAAATTTTCAGAGAAGTGGCTATTACAATGATGAGCATGTATGTAGCTACCTATTTTCTTACCTACTTCCAGGGTGACATAATAAGGGCCGATCAATTGTGTCTTGCAACCTCAAGACAAATTCTTCCTTTAGTCGTTTTCTTATCTCCTGCGGTTGTCTATCCGCATCAATCTGTTAATTAACTTCCACTGTCTTACGTAGAAGTCGTCAACCAACTCTCCAGGGTTCTGACGCGTCCTGTATAAGATAGATAGTAGCCTACTACGATTGTTCACTATCGGCACGATATGACAGAAAAAGGCGAGCTTTAGCATCTGCGAGCGTAGCGGCAAGCGTTTCTGTACCGAAACAGCATTCTTTCATTCGTTTCCTGTCTTCCTCCGTTAGTAGAAGTTTTAATTTAGCCAGATTTGTAGGTTTGTTCAGTCAGTTAAATGATAGAAAAATGTGTATGGTGGACTAGGACTAGTCCTAGTTTTCTTAGACTTAAACTCTAAACTTAACTAATTTGGACTTGATACTGGTATAAGCACTAATCCGTGTTTTAATTAACGATCCTTGCCGAGTCGATGGGTTCTTCATGGGGCTGGAGAATTATCTTGTTCTACCTCCCGTTCGCCTTCGGCTTCATTGTTTTCAAAACCAAAATCGATTACGTCCAGGACCCCAATCGTATGCAGGGGAAGTTGTTGTTGGCGGCGTCTTGGTCGACCCTATTGTCGTTGGTTTTCGACCAGTTCCACGCAGCGGTTGTCGGTTATAACGATTCCGTAACTATCCTCAGAGTCTCTATCTACGGTTGCGTACTTACTGTTTCGTGGTTTAACGTGTACCTTATACAATGTACTTTTGAAGCTCGATTCGCGGGATTTGCTTAATATTTGCAGAATCCGATCGGCGGCTGAGAAAAGTTCGAGACCTAATTAGCCATTCCAGTCCAACCCTATATAAACCCGGATCTTTGCAAATACAGGGACGTCTTCCAAGCTCTAAACACCGGTGTAAACCTTGGATCCAGCTACTGTATTCTTTTATTAGTGTTATATTGGTGTTAATATATTGTTATCGCTCGTGTATAAATACTATTGACTTTATACTAGGTTTATTGATATTGTCTAGAAACCCCAATTGACTCATCTTCTTCTTCCATTGTAAATTCACAGTCATCGTTGTCTTTTAAGGTTTCTTTTGAACTTAAATCTCCATTCACGGACATCATAATTTCAACGTCTTCTGAAGAGGTTTTCAGTAACCTTTTGCCGACAATCTTCACATTTGGTTTTTGTTTTGGAGTATGTAAACCGATATTTTCTGAATATGATATAATAGACATTTATTTATCAGGGTCTTTCATGTAACAATGATAACTGAATAACTAACTGGCTGATTAAATATAATCGATTTTCTCTTTTTGTAGGCATTGCTGATAGGCGGTCCGTTGTGCCCTACTAAAATAATAAGTTAAAAAACAATTGACCAGGTCTCTATGCATTTGGGAACAGACGGGAATGAATAAAGGTATTAAATCTAGATACAGAGCCCAATGGTTTGCGGAGAAGCCTTTTTTACCTAATGAATTTTGATACCTAAGATTCTACACTACGCGCGTGATGTTGGCACGGTGTTAGACTTTAGTAATCTAGCAAGCTGAGTGGGAATCAGAAACTGAATGGTTAATGCGTAAATTAAAAGAACGATACTATAATAAGTACATTAAAAGAACGATTACTAAGGCAAGATTGTATCCACTTTAAGACTTTTCTATTAATATGAAGTTTGGAAAGTTTGTTATTTTTAATTTCGAAAAGGTTGTGAGGGACAGAGTCAAAAGCTTTAGCAACATCAAGAAAGTTTACATTAAACGGCACTTTTTTGTCAGCAAAATCTGCTAAATCGTTAGTGGTTTCAAGCATGGTGAGAGCACGTTTTCTTTTAAGAAAACCATGTTGCTATTGAAGGTATAATGTTAGCTTCAACAGCGTGCGAGTAAAAATTGTTATAACTGTGCGTTCCACAAAATCTTTTTTCAGAATCGACCTCTTCAACACAGCTACGAAGGCTGCTTGAACTTCGGACGAACGAACGAGTTATTTAAATTTTATATTAGTGATAATTATGCAAATTAAAGTTGTTTAGTGGTCACTTTCATAAACTTATCAGCTGCAATGCTGTCCGATCACATTTACTTTTACTATTAGTGTTCTCGGCGGATCAGGAGGGGGGGGTGAGAGGGATGACATTTTCCATTCCTGAACACCGGGAACCCACAACTTTTGAAACATGGTGAGGGGGGGGTATACCCGTCCTGTCCTTTGAGAATTGCAATCCCCCCCCCCTTCCAGCCAAGAACACTATTTACTGTTGTTCAAATTGGCGCCTGCATTATATACTAAAGGGAATACTATAGTATGTTGACATAATATATATATAATTAGTATACAAAAAGAAACCAAAAAGATCAATTAATATACAAAGAACACTATATAACATTATAGTCTTCAATTGGATGTTATAATGCGTAGTATCTAGTAATATATGTTAAAAATATATATCATGTAATGTAAGTCAAAGTATATATTCTTAGAAAGCAGTAATATATGTAGTTAAACATTTGTTTCAGATATTATATTATATATATAAAAAATAAATGTATAATGTAATATTTATATTATGTATTGTCTATATATGTTAACAACAAAATACACGGTGTAACAAAAATATCGCAAAATATTGTGCAAACTAAATTAAAAATAGCCTTGCCCTGCCTCAGTAATATACGAAAAGAACGGTATACCATTATACTTTTTAATTAAATGTAATAAATACCACATAGTATATAGTACTATATGTTGTAGTATATAATATAGTAATGTATTTAATCAAACACTTGTTTCAAATATTATATATATATAGAAAATAAATGTTTAATACAATGTTTATATGTAATATATATTCATATATATGTCAACAGTAATATACATGTTGATACAAAAATATTGCAAAATAGTATACTGAGTAAATAAAAAATTGCCTTACCATTAGACTTGGACGCAGAGTAGAGTGCTCTGTACCATGCCCCCCTGGCATGGCACGGAAAATTGCCGAAGCCCTGCCCTGTGTCCAAGCCTGCCTACCATGCCTTATCCTAGACATGGGGACTCTCTAAAAAAATCTAAAAAAACTCTCTAAAATATGCTCTCCGCCCAGCCCGTTCCTTTTGTCTAGTCTGCCTGCCTTTGCCCTGCATTTGCCTTGCATTGGCTGCCTGTATCATGCATTGCTTCAGCTTTTGCCCTGTCTTATCTTCCTTGCCCTTCCCTGGATATTACAAAAATGCATATGCAAATGTTAAGTTGCCTTTTCAAAAAAACTCAAACTGATCATTTCAAAAATGTTTTTCCCACAGTCGGGTCGTTTTTTCAATAAGGATCCACCGAGGATAAGAATTGATATTCCACTTGTTCCTCTGTTTCTGCGTAAGTTTTTACAGTTTTTTAAAAAATTACATTATTTTTTAATATTGCTTTAAAAATCTTACATTTTTCTATGCTTTCTTCTCCCCCTCCCCTATTCTTCGGCCGACAACTTCAGAGCTTGACCTTTCACCAAGCTCTGACCGTTTGTATTACTGTAATTTTTTTAAACATAAAGTTTAAAAAAAAATTTTGCAGGTAAAATTACACAAAAACACGGTCTACAACAACAACAATTTTTTGAATTTTATTTTTTTCTTGAAAAAAAAGTTATAGCAAAAACAAATCTACCATTACTTTTTTAGCCTATACTACAATATAAACCTTCAAAATTGACAAAAAACAATTAAAAAAGAAGTAAAAAAACAAAAATTTATAAAACGTTCAGTTTAGTCCATAATACTGCATAAAATTAGTTAAAGAAAGTGTGTTTATATCGGTCAGACGAGATTAGACGTCGTTATTACAATATTCCTTCTTGAGTAGCCAAAGATATTTTAAATATGTTTTTTGAAAGAAATTGTAGTTTAAAAGATTTTTTATACAAAAATGTACACAAAATGTTTTTCTAGGCTTGCATTTACCAAGACTTACCGTAATTATTTTAAAACTTTCATCGTATAAATTGTCTTTTCCGTCAAACTTCATTTCGGACGCATTTCGCGCGCATAAAAAAGTAAAATAATATTTTTCCTCGCAATGTTTCAACTTACTGTAACATAACTAACTGAAAATGGCGTTTAGAACGGGTCCTCCGCCTCCATCAGGTATGAAATCTCATAATTATACTATACTTTATTTAAATTTTAATAGTCTTTTCATTGTTTTAGATCCACAATTAAGGCATGCAATCGAACGAATGGCTGTGTATGTGGCTCAAACCGGTCCACAAAGTGAAGTTGAAGCTAGAAGAGTTAATTATGGCAATCCAGCATATCAGTTTTTGTTCAATGGCGAAGGATCTACGTATTATCAATTTTGTTTGGCGAGAGAGATTCATAATTGTAAGTTTTTTGTATATTGTTTAAAGTTTTAGGCTTTTGGATATAAAAATATTAGTTTTAAAGATAGATTTTTGATATTTTAAGTAGTGTTAGAAGTATACCTTGACGAGGTTTCGTGTTAGTTTAGGATTAATATCTTGCGACGTTTAAATGATATGCTATTTTTTAAGATTTGTTATGGTGACTATTGAAGGCTTATTGCTTAATATAGTTTTTGGTTTGGAACCTACATTTATAAATAGTTGAAAGAGGGTTTATTTATGCTTTTTAAAAGTTTTTGTTTTATATTGACGAGTTTTAGGTGAAATACGATTTTTTAACAATGACTTGATAGTAAATATAATCTAAAACAAAAATAAAAAATTTATTTCAGTGTCCCAAATAGCTCAAGGACAACCTCCACCACAAATTCAGCCGTCGACATCACGGCCAATACCGTTAAACGCGATTCCACCACCATTAGCGCCACCTCAAGGGCCTCCGCCACCGTTGGCCCCTCCACCAACCTTAGCACCTCCTCAAACGCCGAATATTGAAGCTGAAATAGCTGGTTATGAAGCTCAATTAGCTGGCTTCCAAGAGCAAATAACTCAAAGTGAACGGAATTTACAAGCTCATCTTGATTCGATTCCAGATCAACGAAAAGTAAGTTACATTGACATTGTTTTAGTTGGATTTTAGTTTAAAACAGAGAAAATGTTCATGGAGAAGGAAGAAGAACGAATTAGTGAGTTGATGGCGAATGCTGGGATTGTTAAGGACGATTTTTTGCCATTGATTGATTCGCTGGCGGCTAGTGGATCTAAGGACACAATTTCTGTGAGTATACCTTTTATTATTGTTGAAATGAGTTAACTTAGAATTCGCTTGAAATTTTAAGCTTCAAGATTAGTTTACTAACTAAATAATGAAGCTATAACAATCAAAAAGAGTAACTTTTACTTGATAATAACGGAAATATTATTAAAAACCTCTTTTTTGTTGACTTTGTGATGGTTAATATAGAAAACTAACGTTTGGCTATATTTTAGAAGGTCAAACACTGGATTTTTGATCATGCAGAAACAGACCAGAAGCGTGAAGTTGTGTTAACGTTCTTTCTACACAGATTCAGATCGGCTGCTACAACTGATGCGATGAAACTTCACATATTATACTTGGTCAACGATTGGGCTTATTATTGGTAAGTTGAGGGCTAAACGTTGATAATTTTTTTGTAAAATACGGTTTTTTAAAGGTCTTCAAATGTATAGTAAAATATAAGTTTTTTAAAATAATTTTAATATTTTCAGTGACAGAAAGAAATTGACCAACATTCGACAAACTTTAAGTCGATATGTACCTAAATTCTTTGCATTAGCGTCCCACAGCGGCACATTGACATCGAAATTGGACAAATTAGTTGGTGTTTGGGAAGGTGGTCGATATTTTGATGACAGTTGCTTTAAAGTAGGTTTTTGCTGATTTTTGGGGGTTTTCGGGCCTAAACTTCTTGAGTAATATAGGGACAAATATGGTTTTTTGTAGTGTTTTTATGAAAGAGTGTGGTGAGAAAGGTACTTCTAGTTTGCTTTTATGATTTTTTTAGCTATATTGAGGCGGCAAAAAAGTTTTGTCGTTTTTTAACCTGAATGACAGACGACGACAAAACTTTTTTGTGTTTTTATAAGTGTAAATTTTCATCATAGTATTGTTGATATACAATATGTTTCCATTTTATATATTGTTACTTGTTTAGCAACTCCGAAACCCGTCCCAAGTGTACCAAATGGACCAAATTGCCCAAAAAGGCGAAAAACAAAAACTGGGAGATGAAATTGAAAAAGAACTCAGAAGCACGTACGAAACATACAAAAAGCAACATCAAGACTACGAAGCTCATATCCAGACCCAAATGGCTAGTATACAGACCAAAATCGCCAATCTAAAACATCGAAATCAGCTGGCATCGATGGAGAATGTGGATCTAAAGCCGAAAGGGGAATATTATGAATTACCAGCCGGAATGATGGTGACTTTGCTACCTCCGAATGAATTTGCCTTTAAACAGTTGAAGAAAGAGGACCTGAGACTACCTCCACCAAGTGACATGAATGACATGTTGATGAATGAAATTGAAAGGTTTTACAGTATGGTGAATGTGCCAAGAATGGAGGATCTGACAAAGTAAGCAAGCTTTTATATCTTTTTGTTAGAAAAGTTTAATGGTTTGCACGGTGCAAGAAAAAATTGCGGATTGCACGGTGCAAAAATTAAAATTTTAAATTAAAAATGTTTTTCATTTTCGAAAAGCTAGTATTATAGTTTATATTAAAGATTGTAGACTGGAAATGCAGTAGGAAAAATTTTAAGCTGTAGTTTTTATATAAAGGGGTGTTTTTAAATGTTTGAAAATTTTGAACTGTGCAAAAAATGAAATTTTTTGAATACGAAAAATTTTTATTTTGGTCTCAAATTGAATAATATAGACGTACAAAAAAATATTGAAAGTTTTAAGACAGCGTTTTAATGTAAAAGGTTAATATTAAATTTGTCAAAAGTTTTGCACCGTGCAAAAGGATAAACCTTGCTTTTTTAACTGCACCGTGCAGATGAAATTAATTTTTGTTAAAATTGTATTAAAAATTGTTTATGGATATAAATATGACATTTTACAATACTTTAAACTAATTTTGCCCAATTTTTAGAGACGGTTGGGACTACCGCGGCCTACAGGAATTCGACGCCCTAAAGGCAAAATGTCGAGCAGAGTTGGAAGAACAACTGAAAGACGAAGGTAAAACAATAGAAGACTTGATAAGGGAAAATCAAAAAGAATTTGGATACGAGTCGGATTCATCATCTAGCTCATCATCAAGTTCGAGTAGCTCAAGTTCGGATCGAAGAAGCAGGTCAAGGTCCAGATCCAGGTCAAGAAGTATTAGTCCAGAAGATGAAAGACCTAGCTTTGGTGGGGATAAGCCTGGAATGTTTGTTAAGTAAGTATTTTTTGGGCTTTGAGGTGAAATTTGATTTTTTTAAATTTTTGAATTTTAAAAAAAATTTTAAATTTAAAAATTTTTGAACCTTTTTAAAAATACTCTGTATTTTCAGACCGGCCGATCCAGTATTCAAAGCTCCAGCACCAGTGAACAAAGGTGCGATGCTTTTACAGAAAATGGGCTGGGGCGGTGGCGGCCTAGGCTCGGAAGGCCAAGGCAGATCAGAAGCCATCGATGCCGGAGCTCCGAGAGACATTCAGGACCAGTTCAGAGGGATCGGCTCAAAACCAGACAAATTCGAAGAATATCGAAAGCAAATGAGCAAGAAGTTTGGCGGATAACGTTGAGGAGCTTTATGAATATCTTGATGCCATGCGTTTGTTCAGGGTCTTGAGGTTACGAGATTGTTCAATGTCTGGATATTAAGGGCTTAATCGATGAATTATATTGTGTTATACGTTTGGTGGATTTGATGTTAATATGGATTTCTTTAATAGCTATTTTTGGCTAATATGGGCTTTAAAATGATTTAAGAAAAGGCTTTTCATAATTTTTCATCATGTAGGGCCTTTTTTAAATAATTTTTCTTAATTTTGAGGCCTTTTTTTTAATGATTACTTTCAATATTAGGTCGTTCAAATAATTCTGTGCTCTCTAACCCCTAAAATTTTGCTTGAAGGGAGCACAGAATTAGTTGAACTACCTAATATAAAGGCCTTTTTTAGGATTTTTTTTCAATATCAAAGCGTTTTTATGAGTTTAATGTGATGAATAATATCAAAATTTTCAATATTTTGCAAAAAATTGTTTTCTTGTATCAAAAAGTGTGTAGAATGAAAATTAATGTCAATAAGTGTATAGAAAAAGTCAAAAAAGTTTATAAAAAGAGTAATTTTTGTCTGAAAAAGGCTTTAAAATAACATTTTTGTTACTTTGTTTTATATTTCTACGTACTTTTTGACCGTTTTGACTATTTTGTATAATGCTATGAATAAGGTACTAACTATAATCAGTACTACGTATGCGTCTTAGTTGTTAATGTTTGATAGGGTATTAAAAACTTTTGTCGTTTTTTAACGTGCAAGGTAGTGCAAATTGACGACAAGGCTTTTATGCCACTCTAATATGTATGTTTGTTTCAATTTTAAGGTTTTTTGAATATTTTTTACAATTTGCAAAATAAATTATTGCATTTGAAAGGACTTTTTGTTCAGTTTATAGCTTTCGACATTATTTTTGATACTATTCGGTTGAAAGACCGGTCGATTCTCGTCGATTTTTTGCCTGTTTTTTATTTCCTATTGCAATACATCACTATATATAGCACTATATTGGTATGTATTTTGATTTTATTTTTGGGATTTTAGTTTATATTTTTAAATATTGTGGTTTTATTTCTTTAATTTCTGATTTTCCTTTTATATTTTGTGGTTTTTGGACATTTTAAGCTGTTTTACAGTACTTGATTGATATATTTTGATCGATTTTTGAATTGGATCAAGTTTTTTTTGGATTTTAATTGTTTTTGAGTATGTTATTTTGAACTATAATTAGTTTGTAGTACTGACCGAGCTTATGTTTATTACTGTTGTGGCTTTTAAATGAGGTTTTCTTGTCTTAAAAGTGCTACAAAAGTACTAGTCAAGGTTTTTTAATATTAGTTCGTACCATAAAAAACTATTTTTGCATTTAAAAATTCTATTTTTGTTTCTTTTTGGCCTATTTTTGTCATTTTTGGCTCATTTTTCAAATTTTTTAAGTTAAAACCATGTTATTTTAGCTCAATTTGCCCCAATTTCAATAGCCAAAGATGTGGAGGAACAGCAGAATTCTCGGAGGGACGTTGGCAACACTAGCAGGAACGACCTACTGTTTTGGCGATCAATTAAAACCAAAAACGGCACAACTATTGTCGAGAGAACCGGAAAAAGAACAGAGTAATATACTCTTTCCCCGAGGGAAATGGGACTCGAACTGGGATCAGTAAGTTGATTTTTAGCATTATTGAAGACTTGGTTGACGTTGAAGGTGAAATGGTGATTTATAAAGGTAAAATGGCAAAAAATTTCTTTACAATGTATAAAATGGCAAGAACTTTTTTTGCGAATCAAGAAATGACTAAAACTTTCTTTACAAACGATAAGATGGCAAGAACTTTCTTTAAAAAACTTAAAATGGCAAGAACTTTCTTTACAAAAGAAAAAATGGCAAGAACTTTCTTTACAAACTTTTTGCCCTATCTAAAACATTATTTTTAGCCGAGACCCGGCCGTTCTAGTGGATCCAGATGAGTATTGGAAGGCGGACGAAGAGAAGCGAAAAGAATTGCTAAAGGAACACAAAACCAAAGCTACGAGGAACATATTCTTGATTAGACATGGACAATATTTCTTGGATTCGGAGAAGAAAAACTTGACACCGCTGGGCCAAGAGCAGGCACAGTTGTTGGGGGAACGGCTAGCTAAAACCAACATCAAATACGACATTTGTGTTATGTCTACTATGAATCGGTAAGAGGGCTGTAGGGTAGGGTAAGGTAAGGTAGAGTAAGGCAACGTAGGGTTGGGTAGGGCAGGGTATGGTATTGTAAGATAAAGTAGGGTAGGGTAGGTAAGGGAAGGGTACGGTAATCTAAGGTAGCGGACTTACAAGGTAGGGTAGGGTAGCCAATGCACGGTACTCAAAAATACTATAGTAGTACGATACTCTAACCAATGATAGTATGGCAATGTAAAATAATGTCATAGGTTTCTGTGAGGAAGCGTAGTACTGTACTGTAACATGAATTATAAATTTGTACCTTTAGAGCGATGGAAACAGCGACGTTAATGCTGGAGAAGTTGGACCCACAAATCCCACGGAAAGCAGACTCTATCCTGGAAGAAGGCGCACCCTACCCACCCGAACCTGCCATATCACACTGGAAACCGGCACAAAAAGTAGGCTTTTTATTGGTGGTTTAGGTAGTAATAGTATTTGGAACATCATTATTATGTTAGGTACGATAAAGTATGTTTTAATAGGATTGGTACTGTATGTTAGATTAGATACAGTAAGGTATGTTGTAGTAAGTATTATGTTGTATTATGTACTGTAAGTTATGCGTTAATAGCTACTAAAAGGAGTAATAAAGGCGATAAGGTATATTATAGTAGGCACAGTAAGGCATATTTTAGTAAGGATCGTAATGTATATTAGAGTAGGTACAGTAAGATACGTTATGGTAGGTACCATAAAGTTTGATGTCGTATGTACTATAAGGTACGTTGTGTTAGGTATTATAAGGAATGTTACAGTTGATAAGACAATGGATGTTATAGTAAGTATTATAAAAAGGCATAGGTACTATAAGGTTGTACAAGATATGTCATATTAGTTACAGTAAGATATGTTCTAGCAGATACAGTATTATTTTATCAAAATTTGACCGGTTCCTTTTTGAGAAGTTTTTCGCCGAAGGAGCCCGCATCGAAGCCGCCTTCCGAAAGTACATACATCGAGCATCGCCACGCCAAAAGCAAGACAGCTACGAACTCATCGTGTGTCATGCCAATGTTATTCGCTACTTTGTTTGTCGGTAAGTTTAGTACTAGTACTTATAAGATGAGTATTTTAGTACCAGTTTTTGAGTACCTGTAGCACCATAAGGCGAAACTTGTTAGCATATTATTTATTTTTTACATGTTTGCTTACTGTAACATCACATTTTAAATTTTTTTTATTTAAAAAATTTTTTTTATTTAAAACGTTTCAAAATTTCAGAGCCCTCCAACTGCCGCCGGAAAGCTGGCTTCGCTTCTCACTAGGCAACAGCTCCATCACCTGGATGGTACTCCGGCCGAATGGTGCCGTCTCGATCCGCGCAATGGGGGACTTTGGCCATCTGCCCCATGACAAGGTCTCGTTCACGTAAAACCGAAAAAGGATTGTTCTTACCTTTCTACTTGTTCAATAAATCTAAGTATAAATAGACTTTTTAAATGTGAGGTTTAGGTCAAAAAGTTTTTGGATTTTTCGTAAAATTTTTTATTCAAAAACTCAATAAAAATAACAAAAAAAGGTAACAATAACAAGCGGAAAAGGCTGAACAAGACGTAAAATCCAGAAAAAAATGGTTAAACAAGCCGCAATCAATTCAAAAATTGCTGAGTAAGCCGTAAAATCAGTTCAAAAATCGGTAAAAACCAATAAAAATCAATGTAAATATAACCATTAAATCAATTTTTACTGATCCATCTCCTCATCAGCTTGATTTGGATCGGCAGCAGCTGGTTCTGCGGCTGGATTTAGGTCCGGGAACTTATTGACTACATTCTGTCGTTTGGCCACATCGTATATTCTGATAAGGTCCTTCTTCTCGCCGCCCAATAAAAGCACATTTGGAACGTTGGGGCAGAAGGCGGCCGATCGAACTGTTCCAATGTTGAGGGCTTCAGTGTTTAGGAGCTTGAACTGATCGTTTTCTAGGGACCATACTTTGATTTCCTGAAGGTATTTGAATGTAGAATGGGATTTGAGTAACTGTTTTGTAAAGAAAGTTCTTGCCATTTTTTGTTTTGTAAAGAAAGTTCTTACTATTTTTTGTTTTGTAAAAAAAGTTCTTGCCATTTTTTGTTTTGTAAAGAAAGTGTTTTCCATTTTATCGTTTGCAAAGAAAGTTCTTGCAACTTTCGCCCTTACCAACCGCCTTACAAGCTTTTACCTCATCACCAGCAGTCGAAAACATGCCATTCCTGGCGCTTTGACTAAACACAGCTCCTTCTCCTTCATGACACTTCTCTTCACAAACTACAGTATTTGGTTGTCGAGCATCAAAATACCGTAGTATTCCATCACTACCCATCACGAAGAGCTTGTTCTCGTTAAATCTGTCCCAATAAACTTTTTCAATTTCGATTCCAGACTTTTCGAAAATTTGAATCGACTCATCTGATTGGCAGTCATTGATTTGGACTTTGCCTGATCTTGAACCGGACAATAGTACACTGGCGTGGGAGGGTTGCCAGTCTAGGGTTTGGACCTGAAATTTTAAAATTAAAAAAAAATTAATTTTAAAACTTCTTTTAATTTAAAAAAAACTCAAAAAATCATTTTAAATCCAAAGTTATACCCATTTCCCCAAAACCCCTTACCATTCCCTCTAAGTTCATATTCTGAGCAGCTTTGGCCTCATCCAGGTCCCATAACACCACAATTTCGTCAGCACCACCACTAGCCAACAAATGATCAGCCTCTCGATTCCATGCCAAACTCAAAACAGCATCAGAATGCCCTTGACTACTTCCATCTCTCTTCTTTCGACTTTTTTTCGAAAATTCTCCCAACGTTCCCAAAGGTTTTACAGCATTTACAATGTCCAAATCCCATAGCTCAATTACTGGATTCATGGTGGCTACAGCTAACAAATTTCCTTTCTTAGTTTCCACTCCTGGATCGTATTTTATATGCTCCATGCAGAGAATCGGAGCTGCGATTGGGTAATCATGATGAACATAGAAATCTCCGTCAGTGTTGTAGAGGTATACAACCAGAGTTGTGTCGTCCTGAAAATTAAAAAGTTAAACTTAAAGCCACAAGAACTTAAGAGTTGACACCAGTTTTTAACGTTAAAAGTCCCAAAAATTCACAGCTAATGTAAATGGTCACCTAAAACAATATAAAACATAAAAAAAATAGCCCATACCCCTTCGAATTTTGCAGCAGCAACTAGATTATCTTCTGCTTTCACACTCAAGTCTTCTTGTTCAGCTTCATCTTCACTGTCGGCAGTTTTTGTCACATATGGATCTTCCAAATTCGATGAGAAGACTGACAATCCTTTCATTGATGGTTCCCTGAAAATTCACCGTTTTACTATCGGAAACTGCTTACACAACCACGAGTAGACTCTTTTCGTCCTTTTAATACCAAATTCACAATCTTTCATACCTAAAAACAAAGTAAAAAATAACAAAATAACTTACACCTCCTTCTCCTTATCATAACCTTCCATGTTGTACTTGTCTTCGCCTTCTTCCGTCGTCAAATTCGTTTTGCTTCCTCTAATTCCTTTGCTTTTGGGTTCTTCTTGTTCCATTTCGGCATCCGAAGTCTGATCGTCTTCAGTGTTTTCAGGATGAGAGCCCTGAATCAGCTCACTAATCGTCTGAGGTTCCAGCTTGACATATTGAGGCTTTTCGGCCGCAACACCTCGTTCAATCCAACAAATTGAGGTTATCACGGTGTGACGAGATTCTTCCATGTCTAAAGAATGTATTACAGATAAATATTAAAAGCTAGGACGCGAAAAATATTGTTTTAGGCTCAAAATCCTCGATTATAAGCGAAACATGTAAAACTTGATATAAATGTGAAAGAAAATTTGTTTTTATAGTTTTTTTAAACAAAATAGATATTTTTGAACTAAAGATTGTAAAGATATTACTCATTTTATTGTGAAATACAAAGAAATTCCCAAAAATATATTATTTTACGTTTCGCAAACGCGCCCGGCTTTCTGCAGCTCGCTGGCGACATGTTATACGATAAATAGTCCATTTGGAATATAAATGTAGATGAAATAGTTCCTACACAAATTATTTCAGATAATCAAATTCATCAAAGTTTATCAAAATTCAATAAAATTTTATCACAATATCAAGCATAGCTCATGCAGTAGTCGAAAATGCCATAAACTCGGTCCGTTGGAACCTAAAACATCAAAATATAATGCCTAAAACTGTAAAAATTAATACAAATTATTAAAAAATACCTTCAAAATCTTCTTGGTGAATTGAGAATGCATTATTCCAGCTCTAACAGCCGGATATCCGATAAGTTTTGACCATAAATCGACAAAATTCTTGTTTGTTGAGGGAGTTGATATGACAAACTTGGTGAAATTAGCCGCTTTCAGAGGTATTTCACGAGGATTTTCACTGCAATTCAATTTTCAACAATTTTTTAAAATTATTTATTAAAAAAATGTTTAAAAAACGTGTTTTAACCCACCGTCTATGGAGTTCTTCACCTTCAAAGATTGACTTCAATAAGGTCTCTGCTATCGCCTAAAATAACATTTTTTAAGCTTCTGAATGACCTTTCTCCAAAAAATATTTAAAAATAAAAAAAGTTTATGTTATATAGGTCCTTTAACTTTCATTAAGACAACAATTGACAATATTATAAAACTTACTGGAGTATCAGCGTATAACGGACCGATATATAGCTGCTGGTTAGCGCATGTTCGTGCTCGTATGTAGCCTGTTACTTTGCCGTTATTGTCTTGAGCAAACTGGAAATACAATTTATACTCCATACCCTACCCTACCCTGCCCTACCCTACCCTACCCTACCCTACCCTACCCTACCCTACCCTACCCTACCCTACCCTACCCTACCCTACCCTACCCTACCCTACCCTACCCTACCCTACCCTACCCTACCCTACCCTACCCTACCCTACCCTACCCTACCCTACCCTACCCTACCCTACCCTACCCCACCCTACCCTACCCTACCCTACCCTACCCTACCCTACCCTACCCCCACCCTACCCTACCCTACCCTACCCTACCCTACCCTACCCTACCCTACCCTACCCTACCCCCACCCTACCCTACCCTACCCTACCCTACCCTACCCTACCCTTCCCTACCCTACCCTACCCTACCCTACCCAATAAATAAAGCAATTACCACGCTATAAGCCTTCAGAACTTGCAGACAACTTTTCACATATCCAGACCGGTCGATATTAGGAACAATCGTTTTGTCATATTCATTGACTTTCTCAAAATGACTTCCGTCATAAACTGTGGTAGTTACAGTGGGATCTTTCTGTAAGTTCTCTGGGTGAATATCAGTGCCTGGGGTAATGTAACAATCCAATAGAAAGTCGGATTCCAAAGAGAATCCATGTCTTGAAGCGTATTTTGCGGCCATTGAATCCACTAAAAATGATTTTTTAAAAAATTTTGAATTTTAATTTTCCCGCGCTTTTTATTTTTAAATTTCTGTCTTCCCGCGCTTTTTGGCATTGTGTTTTCTTAACAAAATAAATTGAGATTTAAAAGAAAAAACTTAAATAAAACACCATAGCTTGTTTTTTCGTATTTTACAACAAAAAAAATTGAATTTTTATTTTTCCGCCAAATTTGGCATTCTGTTTTTCGTTAGTATTTTATTTAAAAAACGGTAAATGACAACAAAACTTGATCAAGATTAGCCTGTTACATGAAAAATGATTTTTATTTCAACCTTATTTTACAATAAAAAGCTGTGGCAATGTCTAACCTACTATAATATACTATAATATAGCACTCACCCCCGACCAATCCTTTGTTATGTCCTTCAATTTCTGGTCGATCCACTAGCTCTTGGAACAACTGTGTGCCATAACCTTTGTTTCGAAATTCTGAATTTGTGTAGAACATACCAACAGTGGTTAGAGGCACATCACTGATTGATGATTGGTAGGTGGCGGTTGCTAGTGAGCATACGAATTTTCCGTCTGAAAATTTTAAAAATAATCATAAATGGTCCAATAGGTCAAAGTATTATAAAATAGGGTAGAAGCAGTTTTTCTGTAGTAAGCACGAGCTAGAGGAATAGGTAAAACTAGATTGGGCAGGGTTAAAAAATGAAAAAGAGACAAGGGTAAGGCTGGGTCTGAAGCTGGGGCTTGGGCTATAGATAGAATTAAGTTAAGGCTAAAGCAAGGTCTAGACTAGCGCTCCAAACTAGGTCTCTGGGCTAGGGCTCTGGGCTAGGGCTGTGGGCTAGGGCTCTAGGCTAGGGCTCTGGGCTGTCAGATAGGGCTCTGAGCTAGGGCTCTGGGCTAGGACTCTGGGCTAGGGCACTGGGCTACGGCTCTGGGCTAGGGCTTTGGACTAGGGTTATCGGCTAGGGTTAAAGCTAGAAAACAGTAAAAAATACCTTTGGTCATATATACTCTCAGAACAAAGTCATCGCCTAACGCTCCTTTCCAGACGTTATAGTCATTGTCAGATACTGCCCAACCTTCAGTCTCAGCTGTCTGAAAATATGATTTTAAGATTTTACTATGCCTAAATAAAATTTTAAGTTTTTATCACTTCGTTTCGACATCAAACTTCGGAATTATTATAGGCAGCGTTACTAGACCTTTTAATAACTAAACAAATGAAAAATTAAAATTTATGTTTGGCTTATAAAATAAAAACTTCACTTACTCGGTCCACAATTTCTGCCCAAACGTAGGGTTTTGGGTTGTCAACTACTACAATATCTTCCATATTTGTTATTTGATAAAAAATTCGTCTTTTTTATTAATGTTTTTGAATTTGATTGACTTGTATTGTAGTTACGCCTAAAAAACATAAGAATTAAATTTTTCGAAGTGAATTGTCAAACCTCAATATTTATAATCAAACTTCATATCTACCTCAATATCCTTTATTAAACTCTATACCTACCTCAATATCCTTGCTCAAAAACCCTTTACCTTTTTAGACTCTTGATCAATCCGTTTAGAACTATGTGGTTTGATCAATATTAAAGTAAACAAACGATTTCAAGGTCTTTCTCTTCCATTTACATCATGCATTTAATCGCATCATGTATTTTCTACCCTGGTATTAATTAGCTACACTTTAGTTTATAGTATTTTAATGTTCAATTCAATACACTTTATAGTTTTCTGTCAATAATATAGAGTCTGAAAGTAAAATATTGTGGTAGGAAATGTTATAGTATGATACGATAAGGCAAAGTATTGTAGTAGAAAATCTTATAGTATGATATATCAAGGTAAACTATTGTAGTAAAGAAGGTTTTTTTTTTGTAATGATAAAAATAATTGTGTTAATAAGAAATAGAAAACAACTGCAACCGCATGACTAGAAATACGTCATATAGTGCTTATTTTGCATCATTTTATATTGGATGGTATATAGAAATTAACGACAAGACTTTTCTTATAGTAGGGTAAAATAGAATAGGGCGGTGTAAGACAAAACAAGGTAAAGCAAGATAGAAAAAAGTAGGACAGGGCAAAACAGTTCAGAAAAAGACAAATTAAGGTAGGACAGGTTAGTGTGGGACACGGTAAAGTAAGGTAGATTAGAGTAAGATAGGGTAGTAGGATAGATTAAGGCAAAAAAAGCTAGAGTAATGGAGGGTAAAATAGAGTAGTGTAGGGTAGAGTAAGGTAAGGTGGAGTAAAGAAAAACAATAAGACTTTTGCTGCCGTTATAAGTTGTTTGTGGCATGTAATGCAGGTGAAAAAACTATGTTAAAAATGAGTTTACTACCTAAATTGAGTTAATTTACTGCTTTAAACACACCAAAACCGACTACACGGAGGTAGAAGCACTGAAGGTTGGGCCAGAAAGTTGACTGAAGATTTCAAGGCCAATCGCCTAGCCATGCCTCTAAGAACTTGCCGAAAACGGCCTTTTTGGCAAATCCAAAAAAGAATCGGTATAATGATGTACTTTGCCTCGATCAGAGTATTTTAAAGTTGACTTGGCCGGCCGAAACCTAAACGACTACATCCATGCCAATTATGTGCCAATTGAAGGTAGGGGCGAATTTTTTTGGAAGTTTGGCAGTTTGAATTCTAGGGTAGGGCAAGCAATTTTATCAGTCTTTCCGGAAAAGAATGTTACAAAACTGCACAGTGCAGTTTGAAGGAATCGCTGTCGCGCCAAGAATTGGGCGACAAGCGACAAGGTCTGCGACAGTCGCTTGCACCCGGCGACATCCCAATGGAAATCGCAATGTCGCAAGTGCAAAGCTTTGCGACAAACTGTCGTGTCGCGCTTCGAATGGCGATGCGACAGTGTGTCGTGGTTGTCGCAACGCTCAAGCCACAACTGTGTTTAATGGAAGGATTGCGGCACGTTTTTTTGACTGTTGCAAGTCATCGAATCCTGCGACAACCGACCGGTGCGGCACTGAAGGGATTGCACTGTGCAATCTTTCCTCACATCGTTGGCTGTATCGGGTGATCGCGCGGGAAATCTGCACTGTGCAGCGGAATATAAAGGGCGCGATTTTCTCGGGGACTGCACCGTGCAGCTGTAACATTCTTTAGTGGAAAGACTGATAATTTGTTACAATTTTTTTTTTAATTTTTAGATAACGAACTTTTTTAAAAAATATTTTTTTTTAATTTGGAAATTTTTAAGTTTTTTAAATTTTAAATTTAATTGTTTTGAAAATTTTAAGTTTTAAAATTTTTTATTTTGAAATTCCAGATCAGAAAAATTACATTTTTACCAAAAGCCCCACCGAAAAGACGGTTGACGACTTCTGGCGCATGATTTGGCAGGCGAAGTGTAAGAGGATTCTGATGCTGACAGAGGTGATGGAACAAGGCAAAAAGAAATGTGAGCAGTACTGGCCGACCAAGATGGGCGAAGAACTCAAGCACCCGTCTGGAGGTGTCGGCAGAGGACTCGACTCTTATTGTAGAGAACATACTGTGGCAGGGATGGCCGGATCATGGCGTGCCGAAGATTTTTTTGAGCCGGCGCATGCTCAGCAAATAACGCGGATCCCTGGGTGGTGCACTGTTCCGCGGGTCGAACTGGCACGATCGTTGCTCTTGCAATGATGGACAACAAACTTTGCAAGGGTGAATTTTGTCCACTGGCTAAAGTTGTCGTCGAATTGAGGACTCATAGGCTTCGGCAGCGTGCTGAGAATGTCTCAGGTAAGAATTTGGCATGATTTTTGGGGAATTACAAGATTTAATCGTTAAAACAGTATAAAGTTGATGTATTATACAAGGAAGTGTTTATGATTATGTGGGTACAAAAAGAAGGTAGGGCAGGTTAGGGTAATGGCTCAAACTAAAGTAAAATTCTACTTAATATAACCTTATCTTTCAGTTTCTGTTTATCTATTGAGCCTTCATGGAGTTGGCCGTCAAGAAGCGAGTCGTGACCAAAAATGAAGTTAAATATTTTTACGAAAAGTATGAAGTGATCATCAACAAACAAGACGCCAGTTGAATGATGTTGGTCGGCTTCACAAAATCCAACTAACTGTTTCACTGGTCGAGAATCTGATTTATAAATACTTTTTTTATGTACATGTTGATGTAGGGTATTGTATAATAAAATATATTATGTTAACTTTAAGGGCAGGAAAGAATTATGGCTATGGTTTTAGTGTCTAATTGTAAGGCTAAAGGTTTAGTAATTTTGAGGCTAGACTAGGGCTCAAGCTAGGGCTCGACGAAGGTTTTTGAGCTAAGGCTTGGACTAGGGTTGATTATTCCGAGCGCAAAAGCTTGTTGTTTCGAATCCAGTTGGAGTAAAAGGGTTTTTTCGGACAAAAGGACTAATAAACTGTCTTTTATTGTTAACATAATTATTTTTAAAGTTGTTTTATTGTAACTGTATTTAAATTTTTAACTTAATTACATACCTTTAATGTTTAATTTAACAAAAATTTTTGTTTTTTTGCACAAAAAATTTTTTTTCATTTTTGTCAAGTTTCCTAACTAAATAAACAAAACATACTAAAGATTGTTTATTGTACGACAACACAAACTGAATACACATCAAATGAACTAAAACTACAATGTAAAAAACTATAGGAGTAGTACTGTTTTGAACCAAAGATAAGCTGACAATAACAAGGTTAATATATAGTATAATAATAAAATGTAAAAACACATTTCAAATAAAATTTTACAACATTTCATTTCAACGTGGAGGTGTAGAAAATAAAAAAAACACAAAATTGGTCCGTATATTATCAGGTTTGTAGGTATATGCTTATAGGGCCATACAAGGTTTAAAGTAATGTTATAGAAGGCTTTATAAGAGCGTGAATGACCTAAAATAAGGTTCAATAAACCTGTAAAGCCTTTTAAATATCCAAAATAACCTCCTCTAAGCCTGATAATATACAAATTTAACACAAGAAACTAAAAAAGTTAGAAAAACTAAAAATAAAATTAAAATTTTCATTTTCGCAGGTAATTTTTTTTTTCATTTTTATTTATTTTTATACAATCTTGAAGACGAAATACGATTATCACAGTAAATATTGATAGAAATATAAGCTCAAAAGACAAAAAAATTGTTTAAAATGACGTTATCATTGGTCAAAAAGTCTGTAGAACTTCATTTTGGACCATTTCCATACTTTAAAAATTTTAAAAATTTCAAATTTCAAAAATTAATTTTTTTTTCGAAAAAAGTCTAAAAATCCATGTTCTATAAACTTTTTGACCGAACATAAGAATTGTTTTCATAAATTTTATAATCAAGGTATGTAAACATATTATACTGACCAGTACGACAAGAATGACGAGACAATTCGAATGAAAGATGGGCATAAGGGGGGTAATACTGTAATTATAGAAAACCGTAAAAACAAAAAAAAATACTGTAAATTTATAGGGTATGGTAGAAAAATTGTAAAACTGTAATAGGGAGTACGGTAAGGTATGGTAGGGTATGTAGGGTAGGGTACGGTATAGTAAAGTAGGGTATGTAGGGTAGGGAAGGGTAGGATAGGGTACGGTAGGGTAGGCTAAAGTTCGGTAGGGTAGGGTAAAGTTGGGTAAGGTGGGATAGGATACGGTAGTGTAGGGTAAGTTAAGCTACTTAATTAAAGTACGGTAAAAAAGCTAATACTGTAGCTACAGTAAAAAGTACGGTAAAAAATAAAAAATGGAGTTACAGTCGCTATAGTGAAATTACAATAAGATGATATTGTGATTAATACAGTGGCCCTACTTATGATAATGTATTGGATACTGTAACAAAAAATTGCTTATAATACTACGTTGGATACGATAGCCGTATATAATACTGTTAAGGGTAGAGTACCTTAAGAAAGTTCGTTTTAGACTTAATTTTAACGTTTTCAAAATTTTTTAAAATTTCGAAAAAAAATTTTTAATTTTAAAAAAATTTCGAAATTTCAACAAAATTCAAAAATTTCCAACCCCCTAACGATACATAGCATTCTGAGCCGACTTGAAGCTGACTTGAAGCGTTCTGTTACCCAATTGAGTGCCATTCAGGTTTGTAATGGCATTCAATGAGTCCTCGTAGTTGGCCATTGTCACAAAACCGTATCCTTTACATTTGTTGAAGGTGTCTTTCATTACGTTAACATGGAGAACGGCCCCAAATGGACCAAACAAACGCCATAGAGTTGGCTCATCGGTTTCGGGGCCTAGGTTGTAGACAAAGATACTGAAGCCGGCAGCCGTACTGGTACCTGGAAGATTGGGATTAGTAAATAAATTAAGCAGCCTTACCCTACTGTATCTTAACCAACCCTACCCTACCTTACAGTACCCTACCCTACTTTATCTTGCTCTACCCTACCTTATTGTACTCTATTTTACTCTGCCCCATCCTACCCTGCCTTATTATAACATACCGTACCCTAATCTAATCTACCCTACCCCGCTTGTCCCTACCCTCCCTTACTCTTCCCTCACTTTACTTACTCTCTCCTACCCGGCTTTGCCCTACTATATCCAACCGTATCAGAGCATACCGTACTTTAACCTGCCCTATCTTTATTTTACCTTACCACACCCTACTCTACCCTGCCCAACCGTACCCTATGAATACTGTAATTTAACTCTTTTCTACCCTAGCCCTCCCCTACCCCTTCAAATCCCACTACTATAACCCCACTTACCACTAGGGCTAGGCACTTTAGGTGCAGCCTGAACCGCCGCAACTTGAGCCTGTTGTTGGCTAGCCAACGCCGCAGCATTCAGCGCCGCCAGCTGTTGTTGTTGAGTTTGAGCGGCCGTTAGCTGCTGGAGAATGGCTTGAGTTGTGAGCAAATCCGCCGTCTGTGTAGGCATGTATCCAGCCGCTCCAGCCAACGAAGTCTGAGCCGTTAAAGCGGTCTGCGTCGGAGCAGCTAGCGGTGAGTAGCGTAGAGTGCCGAGCTGAGGTGTGTGTCGGATTGGACCGACACTTGGCCGTTGGACCGAATTGAAAGCGGCCACGGACTGTAGAGCCGCGATTGGGGCCAGAGCGGCTTGGGTCATGAGGTCACTGACCTGTAGCATGTTCTTCTGAGTAGCGGCCGCCGGATTGTTGGCGAACTTGACTTGTAATGGCTCGGTAAAGCCCGGAGGGGTAGTGCCATTCATTTTCTCGATAGCTACTTCGGCCTCGGATTTGCGGTCGAAACGGACGAAGCCTACGCCTTTTGATAGACCTAAAAATTGGATTTAAATTTTTTTTAACTTAAAAATAAAAAAAAATTTTTTCCAAATTTTAAAATGAAAAAAAATTAAGAAACTGCCTCACCAGTCACATTATCAGACAAAATCCTGCTAGTGATAATACTGCCATATGAAATGAACAGTTTCTCCAATTCTGGCTGTGTCAAGGTTTTTGGCAGTCCACTGACATAAAGATTGGCTCCTTTAATCGTTTCATGTGATGGACGAGCAAGTGATACCTAAAATTTGGTATTTTTTATAAATTTGGCTTTAAAATGAGTTTTTAGGTAAAAAATTTAGCAAAAAGTAAATTTTAGGTAACAAATTTTGTGAAAAGTTGATGATTTTAGGTAACAAATTTAAAAAAAGTCAATTTTAAGCAAAAAAATTTGCTGAAAAGTTGTTTTTAGGTAAAAAATCTTGTGAAAATCCGATATTAGGTAAAAAAAAGGTTGGAAAAAAAAGTTGATTTTAAGTAGCAAATTTTGTAAAAAGTTGAGTTTAGATAATAAATCTAATGAAAAATTGATTTTAGGTAACAAATCTAACAAAAAGTTAATTTTAGGTAACAAGTTTTGAAAAAAGTTGATTTTTAGGTAACAAAAATTTAAAATTGATTTTTAAAACAATAAATGGGTAAAATTTAATTTTTTAGGTAACAAACAGTGTTTTATAGCTTAATACAAATAAGATAAACTAAAATACAATACTTTAAAATTAATTAGGTGTTTTTAAACATATATATTTTCACACAAAAATAAGCTTTCTATCCTACCCCTACCTCTAGCCCTAGTCCTAGCTCTAGCTTTAGCCCTAGCCTTAGTCCTAGCTCTAGTTCTAGCCCAACCTCTGACATACCTATCGATACCGTACCGTATGCATACTCGTATAGTACAATATCAGTTGTAACTTAAAATACTAGCTGATATTTATCCAAGAACGTTGTTTAACTAGCCGAAAACTCCATAATAAAGTAATTTATCTAATCAAAAGCAACATGGGGTGTCTTTTAACTAGCCTCAAACCTTTTAAAAAGCCTTTTAGCTAGCCTAAAACCTCACAAATGGCTTTTAACTAGCCTAACAATTCACAAAACGCCTTTTAACCAGCCTAACACCCCGTCTTACCCTTACTCTACTGAGGCCTGTGGAACAGAAACATTTTTTGGCTTTTACTCTAGAAAAAACTTGTAGCGATCTCCCCCACCTACTAAAATATAAAGTGTTGTAGCGCCGTCCCCCACCTACAACACTATAAAGTCTTGTAGCGACGTCCCCCACCTACTACAATATAAAACGCGGTTACAATGAAGAAGCTTGGTACATGTGAACAAAAAAATCAAAAAAGTGAAAAGTCGAAAATGAAAAAAATGGCAAATTTCGCACGAAACGCACCTTGATCGTCTTGTTCTGCAGCCGCAGGCCGTTCAGGCTTTGGCGTGCACGTTGCGCGTCGTCCGGGTTACAGTAATTTACAAAAGCATAACCAAGGCTCTGACCTAAAATCAAGTAGAACTTAAATCCAAAAACAGGAAACAATTGGGAAACCAAAAACGGAAGAAGGAAACAAATAAAAACGCATGTCGACCGGTCGAAAAATCAAAAAATCAAGCACAAAAGTACACAAAAATGATTAGAATATATTATCGTACTGACAACATGTGATCGGGGGTTAATTGAACTCAGTTTTTTCGTGCTTTATTCAAATTATATTCACATTGAGTACCGAAGAGAGCTGATATTAACATAGATCAAAGACGTTAAAACTTAGATTTTTAAAAATCTTAAAATTTAAAATCTATGAATATTGAATTTAGATCAAAATTAAAATTGTAAAATACGGATGTGTATCTTTTTCATACGATTTGTGTTTAAAATACGAAAAAAAATTTTTTTTTTGGGTCCCACCACGAAAACTTGATTTTAACTAATTTAAACAAAAAACCGTTAAAGTAAGCTTGAAAAGGCTCTGTAACGCCATAAAAAATAAAAATTTTTGAAAATCTGTATTTAAACGCCATTTTTGTCATCATTTTAGGTCCCATCACGAAAACGTGATCTTTACATTTTTATTTTTCCTTTGGTTGAAATTATTTAAAAAGTCCTTTAGAGTACAAAAAAAACATAAATTTGTGTGTATTGACTATAAATAAGAATTTTAACAATTTTTAAGTTGGGTCCCACCACGAAAACATGAAATTCCTTATTTCACTTTAATTTCTTATCAAACCTATTACAAATGACTCAAAAAGACGTACTAAAGAATTTTTTCGATGAAAATTTTAAAAGTACAATAATAGCGTTAAAAATACAGTACATACCAGTAGTTTTGTCACGAACCAATTTACAGCTCTCAATTGGTCCCATTGATGCAAACAATGACCGAACCTCATCTTGACTCATGGTCTGAGGCAGATAGTTGATGATCAAGTTGGTTTTACTCTCAATGATGGCTCTGTCATGCTTACTGCCCGAGTCCGAGCTGGACGAAGGTGAGGCTGAGGTCGCGTTTTCCTTCATTTGGTCCTAAAATACGAAAAATTTTAGATTTTTTTGTAAAATGAGGCTTTAAATGGCAAGAACTTTCTCTACAAAACATAAAATAGCAAGGACTTTCTTTACAAAACAAAACGGCAAGAACTTTCTTTACACCCAAAATCCCCCATACCTGACACTGTTGTCCCAAGGCAGCGGCAGCCTGTTGTTGTGCGGCCAATAACTGGGCCAAATACTCCTTGTTTTCGCGATTGGCCTCAAAGTCGCCCGCTCCGCTGGCGAGTAGCATAATTTGACTGGATTGGTCGCGGTTCGGTCGATTTCACTCGATTCTCACAAAGATAATTTGCTGAAATTTGAACACATTAAAAATGGGATCCTTGACAATGTTTTTGAATATCAATATCACGAGTAAGGTGGCGCTGGAGTACTGAACAGAGCGATAAAATGTGATAAAAAGTTTTTGAAAAGATCAATTTTCATAAAACCTGGCAGAAAGGTTGGCACTGATATGATAAAGGTCTACGTTAAGTTTTGTCATAATATTATAAGCCATTTTTCCAAAAATCAGGCCCAAAAAAGAAACGTTTGAAGTCAAAAAGCCATAAATTGAACAAAAAAAGTTTTAAAAAATCATATTTTTTTTCCTAAAATACGAAAGTTTTAAAACTTGGCTCAAATATAGCTAATGGCAATACCTACAAGTGTGTTAAAACTTGTGTAAAAATATTGAGCCATTTTGAAAAAAAATTGATTTTAAAATGTCCTTTTTTGTAATTTTTACTGCTTTTATAGCAAGAAGTGGCAAGAACTTTCTTTACAAAACAAAAAATGGCAAGAACTGTCTTTGCAAAGCATAAAATGGCAAGAACTTTTTTTACAAAACAAATAATGGCAAGAATTTTCTTTCCAAGACATAAAATGACAAGAACTTTCTTTACAAAACATAAACCCTCAAAAACTTGCTTTTAGAAAGGACACACAATTATTTGAACAAACAAATATAATTAGAAAGAAATTACAACTCTACAATATCATTTCTTATCATGCCGTTGGATCCTATACAAGAATAGCACAGTCTCTATACAAGGCTATATATCTACTACAATATAACCCTATACCTTAGTACAATATAATTTTCTATGTAATCCTTCATCTTACTACAATATGACTTTCTATACAACTCTGTAACTTACTACAACATGATACAGCCCTTTAGCTTACTACAATATCCTACTCTTATCATACTATAACATCCTACCCTTACCTACTACAATATGCCCTCTCCTACCGCATCGTATACCCATAACTACAAACTCAAACCCTCCATTCTGTCGTTTGTAATTCCCTATAAGATGGTACAAAATTAATTTAGGTGTAAATGAAGTTGCCATGGCTACAAGACCCCTTCAGCGTAAGTTATTAATCCGCCTCGAAACCGCGCCGTTTTACTTTTGCAGATTTGTCGAGGTTTAATTGAAGATGCACAAGCTCAATTTAGGATTTAAGACTGAGTATGTTAAGGATATTAGATTTGGGTATTAGAGTGATAAGTAGAAATATTGTATTGAAGGCTATATTAAGGTAAAGGGAAGGTATGATAAAGAAAATTAAGGCTAAGGTAGGTTTGAAAGAGGGTTATGGTAAGGCAAGAGGAAAGAAAAGTAGTGAGAGGGAAAGGCGAGGGTAAGGAAAAGGTAAGACAAACCTAGAGGATAGATTAGAAGCCGAGGCAAGACCAGAGTAAGCCTAATCGTACGCCTAAACTTAAACATTACCTAAAACTTAAGATTAGAGTAAAGCCACGCTCAAACTTAATCCTAAGCCTAAACCTGAATCTAATAAGCTTTATTTCTAGCTTTAACTCTAGCCTTAGCTCTACCTTTTTCTCTACCTCTACCTCTACTTCTAGCTTTAGCTCCAGCTCTAGCTCTAGCTCTAGCACTAGCTCTAGCTCTAGCTCTAGCTTTAGCTCCAGTCCTAGCTCTAGCTCTAGCACTAGCTCTAGCTCTAGCTCTAGCTCTAGCTCTAGCTTTAGCTCCAGCCCTAGCTCTAGCTCTAGCTCTAGCTCTAGCTCTAGCTCTAGCTTTAGCTTTAGCTCCAGCTCTAGCTCTAGCTCTAGCTCTAGCGCTGGCACTAGCACTATCTCAAGCTCTAACCCAAACACCATATCTATCACCAAGCTCTTTCTAGTTGTAAACATCAATAACTAAATGCCAATGTACATATAGCACATTAGGTAGTATTAAATATTTAAAAAATAGTATGAGTGCAAACAACTATCCAATTTTGGAGAAGATAATTGCAGATTAGACCAGATTTACGTTTAGCAAAATTAAAAAGTTTCAAAATACGCTTAGAAATAATTGGTTTTGTAGCAACATTGCTACTGTAGTTTGCATCGTATTATCCTACCCTACATTACTCACCCCTACTGTATATTTTGACTCATTTTAACTCCAACTATATCATCATCACCTAATTTACTATATATTTCTACTATTACCAATCTACTTTGCAACATATTCCCCTAAAAACACTTCCTATTTACTTATTCTACTTGCAAGTTTTGCCCGCTTCTGGCACTCGAAGTCTGAAATCGTTTCGAAAAACGTTGCGGTAAACATTTCACAACGAGTGGTACAATAGGGTAAATACTTGAAACTATGAACTATTTACTACATTTTTACTAGTTACTTGAAATGGAATCCTATATTTTATAAAAATGCTTTAAAATTACAAAAAATCGGTCTTTTATTAAGAATACACGGTGCAGTAAATAATTTAGATTGCACTGTGCAGTCAATAATTTGGGCTGCACAGTGCAGTTGCCAAAAATATTTTTAAAGATAAAAATATTTTTAAAAAAATAACAATTGTTTTAAAATAGCATTCTCCAGCTTATGGCATTGCTAAAGCTTTCATCAAAACAAATTTTGAAATTTTAAATAAAAAATTTGAATTTTTAAAAAAATTAAAAAAATGACCGCACAGTGCAACAAATTTTTTCAATTTTTTAAAGTTGTGGTTAATATAAAATGTAACTAGTAACCTTTTTAATAATTTTGCTATAAAATATTTTTGAATTTCTAATTTTAAAACCATTTTTTAAAATTTTAAAACTGACTGCACAGTGCAATAAAATTAAAAATCTTGTACCGTGCAGTCAATTGTCGCCATTTTTTCAAATTTTTAGACATTTTAACAAAATTTTAGGTATAAAACTAGAAAACCAAGCAGAAAACCCCTTTTCTTCTTTACTAAAAGCAAAACAAGAACAAGGATAACATAAGTTTTGTCCTTTTTCGAAGTTTTTTTGCAAATTCCAGCCGAAAGTGAATTAATTTGACTAAAACCCCGCGAGGCATATACAAACATGTTTTTGATGGGCGTTGAAAAAATACCAAAAAGGTTTGGCTTTTCAAAAGAATATTAGACTAGGCCAAGGGTTTTAAATTAGGGTATTAGACTGGGCCAAAGCTCTTAAATTAAGATATTAGACTAGACCAAATCTTTTAAACTAAGCCAAAGCTCTTAAAATATCATATTAGATCAAGCCTATCCTTTTAGACTAGACTAAAGCCTTTTTAATTAGGATATTAGAGCCTTTAACTCATAATACAAAAATAGTCATTAGTGCTCATTAAAGGTAACATGCTTAGTAATGGTAATGTAACATGGTCATTATGTTGAAAAGGTGTTTGGGTAAACAAAGGTTTGGCCAGAAATCACTAAATTTGGCTGACAAAAAACAAAAAAAAAGAATTTTTGTTGCACAGTGCAGTCAAGTTTTAAACTTTTTTTGAAAAATAAGCTTTGAAATTTGAAATTAAAAAATACTTTTTAACAAAACTGTTACAAAGGGTACCAGTTACATCTTCTATTTTGTAAACTTTGCAATTTCTTTGATTTGACTTTAAAAATTAGAAAAAAGTATTTTTTGTTGCACCGTGCAATAAATTTTCCATTTTTTAGAAAAAATGAAATTTTCAAACAAAATTTCAAAAATATTTAAAAAAAACTATTAGAAGATTTCATAGTTATCTTCTACATAAATTACAGTTTTTAACTTTTTAGTTTTGAATTTAAAAAAATTTTAAAAATAAAATTTTTGTTGCACCGTGCAATCAAATATGCAAGTTTTTTTACAACATATTTTTTAAAAAATAAAAATTCATAAGTGTTTAGTTTTAATTTTTTAGGACTTTAAAAACTTGTATTTTAGAATTTTAAAATTTATAAATTTTATGCATTGAAGCCATTTTTTTCAAAAAAAATTTTTTAATTGCGCTGTGCAACACTGCTTTTGCCTTGCCTTGCCTTTGCCTTACATTGTTTTACATTATCTTATTTTTATCTTGCCTTACCCTACTTTACTCTGCACTCCCTCGCTTTGTCCAATCTTACCAAGGTCTTCCCTACTCTACCCTCCCTCCCCCCCCCCAAATCCACGCTTATCCTACAATAAATCGTCAGCTCGAAAGTCAACCTTTTTCAACTTTTTTTGGGGAAAAAGCGCACACAATTGGCCTAATGAAGACGAGAAAGGGGCACTGATTTCCCATGAGTCTTTTGTGTCCCGGATCCAAGGCAATGGTAACGGATTATATTTTCTCAAGTTTTCTTTGTTGGACCAAAAAGTTTTTTTCGCCGAAACCGCTTTTTAAAAGGAAATTCGAACAAAATTGGTTTAAAGTCACTAGAGCTAAGGCTGGTCCTAGCCTTACAAGGGAATGTTACAAACTACTCCACGCCAATTACAAAACGAGTTATATCGTTGGAAAGAGCGTTAAAAAGTAGTCTAGAATCAACTTTTTTTTAGCTGCCGAAACCATGTGGCACGGCAGCTACACCTCGTTATATATACTTATGTGTTTAAAAGGTATACCTTTAAAGTTCAAAAAATACTATTTTTTGATAAATATTTTTTTCTAAAAGTGACTAAAAGCAAAAAATAGGACTTAAAAAATATTTGTTCAACCAAAATATTGTTTGGCTAGCCAAAACTTCTTGTCATGATGACTGGGCGCCAAAATGAAATCGACAGGATTCGAACTCCCCGCCTTTTGCACCCCAGACTAACTTTTTAACCACTCGACCACACTGGATCGAAGCTTTAACCCATTCGTTTTGCTCAAGACGAATGAGAAGAGTCAAATAGAAAACCCTATGTAAATCCTTTGATCGCTAATATATGCCGTGCCATATAGTTTCGGCAGCTAAAAAAAGCTGATTCTAGACTAATTTTTAACGCTCTTTCCAACGGTATAACTCGTTTTATAATTGGCGTGGAGTAGTTTGTAACATTCCCTTGTTAGCTCTAGTTTTAGCGCAAAGCCTTGGCTCTAGCCCTAGCTAAAGCACTAGCCTTACTTTTAGTTCTAGGCCTAGTCTTAGCCTTAGCTTTAGGTCTATTCCTTGCATTAAATCCAGACTCAGCTCTAATTAAGCACTTTGTCATTGTTCTTGCTCTAGCCCTAGCCAAATCCAAATCCTTAACCCTAAACTTAGCTAAAGCTCTAGCCAAGACTTTAGCGCTAGCCAAAGCTCTAGCCAAAACATAGCCCTAGCTAAAGCTCTCGCCGAGACTCTATTCCTAGCCAAAGCCCTACCCTATTAAAAACACTTGCCCTTACCTTACAAATACCAAAGCACGCATTTACATAATGACATATAAATAGTAACTTTACAGCGCAAAAACCAAGAAAATAAGCATGTGGAAAGAAGACTAGGACCAAAAAAGCGCGATTAAATTTATTCATATTTAAGCTAATTTAAAACCCCCGAGTCAAAACATAAACACGACCACAAAGTTCAGAATAACTAAGCATCTCTCTGTGTTAACATAGGTCTCTCGCCTATGTTAACATGAGCGGAAAACAGATTTGACGGTCGGAAAAACATATTCAAACTGTATTGCATTTTGTAGTGGGCTTCAAATTTTGAATTTTATAAAATTTTAAAAAATTTCGAAAAAATATCAAAATTTCGAAAAATTTCAAAAAATTTCAAAGAAAAATTTTTTTCGAAAATATTTTTAAAAATTTCAAAAAACACCCTCACAAACCATAATTTTTCATATATCAAGCCAAATTCTACATGAAAAACCTTAACAAATCTCGAATATAGTCTGTCATGAACACTTAAAAACCCTTTTTTATAACCTTGCCACTTTGAGAAATCCTAAACCACCGGCGGCAATCTGTCACCGTCAAACGTATATTCAATCACTTGTCTTTCTTTAAACTTTTTTTTTATCAGACACTGCAAAAAATGGCACAAAATCAAAAATTTTGGGCGTGAAATTAAGGTTTTTGGCAAAAAATAAGAAATTGAGAGCTTAAAAAATTGATATTGTGTGTTACAGTAATCTAAGAAAAAAGTTTTCAATTACAAAAACGTTTTGCATGGCCTAAAGCGTTTCTTTAAAAAAATTTTTTTTAATTTTGTTTATTATATTATGGCAGTAGTAACAGTTCCTCGCAAAAGTGAAGGTAAAAGACGAAAAGATTGATAACTTGTGGTACAATAATCTAATAAAAAAGTTGTTAACTAAAAAAATGTTCTGTATGACCTAAAGTGTGTTTTAGCAAATTTTGGGGCTTTAGTCTATTATATTATGGCAGTGGCAATTTTTCTTCCTGTAAGTCGACATTCAAGAAAGAAAAATTCAATACGATTTGTTACAGTAATCTTATAAAAAAGTTTGCAAATACAAAAGTATTCCCCATGCTTAAAAACATACGTTAAACGTGTTTTTAAATATTTTTAGAATTTTAAAATTTTTTATTTTGATTTTTTTTCAAAAATTTTAGCTTGGTCGACTTTTTTCGCAAAACGCTGAAATTTCAAAATTTTCAAAAAAAAGAGTTAAAATATAATGAATAAGACATAGTTATTAAAAATAAAAATCTACACCACAAACTAAGCCACAATTACCAGCACGTTTTTCAAAGCCCACTTTAAAACAAACCAAAAATTGAAAGCCAAAAAACCAGCTGGCCAAGTGTAAAAATTACCAAAAAAAAAGTTTGTTGGAAACAAAAGTGCGTCAAACGTCGAATTATATAATATTTTAGGTTGTCAACTGTTTGAAGGTTTTGAGAACTAATGACACTCACAACGTTTCCTCCTCAGTTTTTTGAAGAGGAGAAGAGATGATCAGCTAGGTGAACATTGATTTGGCCACAAAAAATTCTGCCTTACTCTGCCCATTCTTACTCTACTTTACCCTACTCTACTATGAACTAACTTATATGAAAAATTAAAATTTGGAAGACTAATTTTCTTGTCAATTTAGAAAAGCAGCAGTGTACTTTGACAATGAGATTAAAATAGGCAAGAAAGGGTATTAACTCAAAGCCGACATAGGTATAATAAGTATTGTAAATAGAGATTAGTGAGCGCTTGAAGAAGTTATTTGATGCTTAAAGTTAGATATATAAAGAGCATTTTTTAAATCTATAATCTTTAGATTACAAGGGAAAAACTCTCCCCCACCTTTACCCCTTACCACCTACTAATAAATTCTTTTAAAAAAAAGTTAAACTTGTTCACCTTTGTCTAGCCACAAAAAAATTATAAAATTTTCTAAATTTTAAAACAAAAGACGAAGAATTTAAAAGAACAACTAGCAGATGAACATACAGGTCTTTTTTTTCATAGTGGGTGGAACATGAACACACCTACAAGTATGTGGGCATCAATGTATTTGTTAATTGTGACTTCACATAAACTTCATAATTTCAATATGAAGTTTACGGTTTTTAATGAAGCATAACACGTTCCCGAATAACGTTGGCGTTCTGTTGCAAAGAGCGTCAAAACCAGGAAATTTGAATAAAAATTATTTTTCTAAAAAAACCGAGCTGGTTGGTCAATGACTTTACCAATTTGGAACTGGCCTGATCAAGCGTTTTGGATAAAAATTTAACGAGAGAACCCCTCCCCCCCCTCCGCAACAGAAAAAAATTTTTGAAAAAAGTTGAACGTGGTCCCCCCTGTGAATTTTTGGAAAAAATTTTTTCGACCCCTGCTCTCAGACCAAAAGTCCACGCCCGGCACTGTATGCTATAGTAGACTTATGTTACAGGCAGTAAGAAAAAGGTAATTTAAGCTTTAGGTAAAAAATTTTTTTTCATTTAAAAAAATGTCAGTTCTATTCTAAAAAAAAATTTTTTTTTGTTATAGGGGGAGAGGAGAAGGGAGAAAGGACAATGAAGGGAGAGGTGAAAAGAAGAGAAGATTAAAAATCAAAAAAAGTTTTTAAAACCGAGTTTTTTACAAAACTTTTTTGATTTTATCTTCCCTACCCTACCCTATCCTCCAATACCCGTGCCCTTCCACCACCCCTTCCCCACCCTCCCAAATCAAATCCATCTGCCCATCTCCAACAATATCAGTAGCCTCTTTTACACCCCAAACCATTATGCACACCTAAACCCATTAATGCCTTTTAATAATAAACAGTAAGTCCTTCCCTTCCACATTAATAATCCCCATTTAAAACAGATTCCGTCTGTGTTGTGGATAATCCCCCCCCCCTTCTCTCGCACCAAAATCGTCCCGTTTTTAATATTTGATGAACCGAATTTAAGCCCCGAGGGACTTCTAACAAACCCAACAGATTTGGGAGGACATTATGAGATAGATAATGTAATATTAAAGCTGGGGTGGGTTGGGAATGACATATTAAAGTTGGGATGGGTTGGAAATGGCATTGTTAGGTATAAAGGGTCATTTTGAAGTATAAATGACATTTTAGGTATGATTTGTCATTTTCCAACAAAAAATTAAAAAAAAACTCATTTTTAGGCTAAACACAATATTTTAGGCTTAAAAATTCTTAGCTAAGGCTTGACATTGCATTTTTAGTATAAAGTGTCGTTTTCAAATAAAATTTTTTAAAAAATTTATTTTTAGACTAAAGATAAACTTCTAGGTTTAAAAATTGTCAATTAAGGCTTAAATTTCTGATTTTAGGTTAAGATATAACTCGAAATATGAAAATTTAGTGTAATTTTAGGCTTAAAATGTCTCATTAGGCTTAAAAATGCTATTTAAAACCTGACATTGTAATTTTAAAACAAAAAATGCAGCATTAAGCTTACGGTTGTTAGCTCATGCTTGACAATGCCACTTTAGGCTTATAAATGTTACCTTAGGCCTAACAGGATTATCTTAGGCTTGTAAAGTTCATTCTAATTTTATAAATGCCAGGCTAGACTTATGAATTTTATTTTAAGTATAAAAATTTACTTTAGGCTTACAAGTATCATTTTAGACTTAAAATGTCAATTTTAATTCAATAAAGTGCACTTAGGCTTAAAAGTAATTTTAAGCTTTAAGAAAGTACCTTAGGCTTAAAAATGATATAATAAAGTAAAAGTTTTTGCTCAGATCTAAAAATTTCATTTTAGGCTTCAAGGAGATATTTTTCTTTTAAACAATTCATTTTAAAACACCAAACTCATATTATAACGTCACATAAACGTTCTAACTCAATAACCCTCTTTCCTTCCCAAAAAAAGATTGTAGAATAGTAAAGTCGATCAGATCAGAGCGTTAAAAGCGTTGAAACAAGTTTTAAGTGAGTCGTCGGAATGTCGGCTAGCACAATCGAATGAAGCTATAATTAGAATTAAATTAAAATACGAATCAATAGGTTTTCACATGAACGCGGATAGTAAAAATAATGCGATATATCATAGCCTGCCCTAATTATGATCCAAAGCCTTAGCCCAGAGCCCTAGCCCAGAGCCTTAGCCCAGAGCCCTAGCCCAGAGCCCTAGTCCAAAGCACTAGCCCAGAGCTCAGAGCCCTAGCTCAGAGCTCTAGCCCAGAGTTCTAGCTCAGGGCCCTAGCCCAGAGCCCTAGCCCAGAGCCCTAGTCCATAACCCTAGCTCAGAGCCCTAGCCCAGGGCCATAGCCCAAGGCCCCAGCGCTAACTTTAGTCATGCTCTTAGCTTTTTCTAGGCTTAGTCTCAGTCCTAGACAGTAGTCAGAGTTTTGGACAAAGCCTTATCCTTAGCTGAAGCCTTTGTCAATGCTCTAGCCCTAGTTCTTGCCCCTCCTTTAAGTTTAGCCTTAGGCCTAGTCCCTGCCTTAGATCTAGTTCTAGCTGTAGCTTTAGTCTCAACTCTAGCCCTAACACTGAACAACAAAAAAAAATTAAAAGCCTCTAGTACTAAATAAAAAGTAAAGTAAACTAAAACTGTTACAATGTTTCCAGCTGACATTCGATATGTGGAAATTAAAAACTGCGTGTCATGCTATGGTGTAAACGACCTTTTTGCTGCTCTTTTGATAGCTTTTTGTTTTAAAATTAACAGAAAAAGTTCTGTTCCTAAAACGCTTGAAATAATGAGTTTCATATGATGATAGTGTAATATGATATACCGTCACCCTCATTTTGGCTTGACCAGATCAAGCATGAAACAAAAACAAACAAAAATTGATTTCGAAGGTAAAGCCCGATATTACTCTGCCTTGCCTTGCCTTGCCGTTGCCTTGCCGTTGCCTTGCCGTTGCCTTGCCTTGCCGTTGCCTTGCCGTTGCCTTGCCGTTGCCTTGCCGTTGCCTTGCCGTTGCCTTGCCGTTGCCTTGCCGTTGCCTTGCCGTTGCCTTGCCGTTGCCTTGCCGTTGCCTTGCCGTTGCCTTGCCATTGCCTTGCCGTTGCCTTGCCGTTGCCTTGCCGTTGCCTTGCCGTTGCCTTGCCGTTGCCTTGCCGTTGCCTTGCCGTTGCCTTGCCGTTGCCTTGCCGTTGCCTTGCCGTTGCCTTGCCGTTGCCTTGCCGTTGCCTTGCCGTTGCCTTGCCGTTGCCTTGCCGTTGCCTTGCCGTTGCCTTGCCGTTGCCTTGCCGTTGCCTTGCCGTTGCCTTGCCGTTGCCTTGCCGTTGCCTTGCCGTTGCCTTGCCGTTGCCTTGCCGTTGCCTTGCCGTTGCCTTGCCGTTGCCTTGCCGTTGCCCTGCCGTTGCCTTGCCGTTGCCTTGCCGTTGCATCTTACTTTACTCTATGCTGCTCTACCCTAACTTACTTTATACTCTATATTATTATACCATACTCTGCTCTACTCTATAAACGTGACCCTACTCTGCCTAACCCTACTAGTAATGACTTTGAAGCCTTTTTCACCTCCCATTACCTCCAAAGCCCCCCTACACATTCCATCACTTAGCCCCAAACAAAGAACAATTTTGGGCGTACGTTCCGATTTTATTTTGGTAAGTAAATACGATTTGTGTTGACTGCACGGATAATATGAAAAAAGACTCGACGATTCCCGAAAACAATGGGCGAAACGGAGGAATGAACTGTGTACAAAAGAGAGGAAAGGGCAGGTGTGGTAAAATCAAAGAAGGGTATCAAATGGCCGACGTGGTTTTTGAGATTTTGATAACTTGTAAAATACGGACATTTTAAACTGAAGTGATAAATTATTACTACTAATATAGGTATAGTTAAGTTTGAGCTTGAGATTAACTTAAACATGCGTTTAAGCTTGAGTGGAAGTTGAGCCTTAGCCTGAGCTTGAGCTTGAACCTGGGCTTGAGCTTGATCTTGAATCAAAGTGAAAGTTGAGCTTTAACCATAGCCTAAGCCTAAGCGTGAGCCTAAGCTTGGGCCTGGGTCTAGGCGTGAGGCTGATTCTGACTCTTTCTGACTCAGCCTGAGTCTGAGCCTAATCCTAAGTCTAAGTTTGAGTCAAAACCTAAGCCTGAGCTTGAGCTTGTTCCTAAAGCTAAACTTGAGCCTAAGCTTGATCCTGAGCCTAAACCTGTGCTTGGGCCTGTGCTTCAGTTTAAAATTGAGCTCAAGTCTAAGCCTAAACTTGAGTTAAAGCCAAATCCAGAGCCAATGCTTGAGCCCAAGGCTAATTTTAGGATTGGCTTTGACCCTTGGCCTAAGCATTGACTATAACTCTAGCTTTGGGCTAATTCCTTACGAAATTTTTTGTTTTACTCTAGCTGAGGTTGCTGTACTTTTTTTTACTTCAATTCTATGCAATTTCCAAACATTAGCTTAAATCTTTCTTTAATATCCTACCCTAGCTTAGACTTATATGTAAAAAATACCCTACCTTAGCTTTATCATACACCCATTTTTCCGTCAAAACACTACTTTATACGTACTACCATAACCACACTCAGTAACCCTTCTTTTGTATCCACTTCCCAAAACATAGTGACCTCAGGCATTGTAACCCCGCGTATGTTTAACAAGACATAGTAGCCGTGTGGTGGGTTTGAAAAGACGTTTGCGACAATCTCTTTCTCATTTCGAAGAGAAAGGAGGTGAGGATTGTTGCATGAGTTTTCTCATCAATCTTCTTTTGAGCTACCGATCTCATCCGTTACTCGCTTCGACATATTATTTGTTTTATAGGTGTACAAATCGCTTCAAATTAGGAGTTCTGACAAGAATTTATGGATTTAAACTCATTTTTTCAACTGCACTTAAATTTTAAAAAATTAAAAAATATGTAGTAAAACCTCAGCTTACATTAAGCTCAGCCGTAGCCTTAGCTGTAGCCTTAACATGAGCTTAATCATGTGTTGACTCCGAGTTTTAGCCTATAGAGCATGAGCTTCATGCCTCAGTCTGAGCCTAAACCTGGGCTAGCGCCTAAGCCTAAATCCTGAGCCTGAGCCTAAACCTGAGTCTGAACTTCAATTGAGGCTTGAGCCAAGGCCAAAGTCAAAGCTTGAACGTGAGCCTAAATCAGAGTTTTGATTTTAGTAAGCGCTTGAGCCTGAAGCTGAGTCTGAGCCTAATTCTGAGCCTGCACCTAAAATGAGTTTGACTATGAACATAAGTCTAAGCCTGAGCTTGAGCCTGAGCTTGTGCTTGAGCCTGAACCTGAGCCTGACCTTGAGCCTGAGCCTGAGGCTGAGCTTGAGCCTGAGCTTAAGCCTGAGCCTGAGCCTGAGCCTGAGCTTGAGCTTGTAATTGAGTTTGAGTTTGAGCCTAGTCTAGCCTAGTATAGCCTAAACTTAAGTCTGAGCTTGAGGTTAAGCCTGAGCCTAAGCACGTGCTAGCCTTAACCTGAACATGAGCCTTAGCTTTAGCCTGACTTAAAGCCTAACAATTGTAAGGCTCAACGGAAACTAAAAAGCTAACTATTGCAGTTTAAAGGTGAAATACGAGCAATACACTCAAAAACCTTTATAATGTATCTTATAATATAATATACATATAAAAGCTTCACAGTGTCTCACATAAAAAAAGTAATATAATACATAACTTATAGAGCCTCATTTGAAGAACTTTACATTGCGGTAAACAGATTTATTTTGTTGAATAGAACAAATTAGACCAAATGATGTCGTTCTTCTCGGAATGTCAAAAGGAAACGATTCTGATGCATTTCTGGGTTCATAAGAGAAAGTTAAAAAAAGCAAACTCTAAATCTTGCATTCTTATTATATACAATTAGTTATAACATTCAGAGTTCCTTCTTTCAAAAAATATGATAATCATTTATGGTTTTTACTACGGTAAACACTTATTATGTAAAGTCAAATGCCAATATCTATACCCTACCCTACCCTACCCTACCCTACCCTACCCTACCCTACCCTACCCTATCCTACCCTACCCTACCCTACCCTACCCTACCCTACCCTATCCTACCCTACCCTACCCTACCCTACCCTACCCTACCCTACCCTACCCTACCCTACCCTACCCTACCCTACCCTACCCTACCCTACCCTACCCTACCCTACCCTACCCTACCCTATCCTATCCTACCCTACCCTACCCTATCCTATCCTACCCTACCGTACCCTACCCCACTTTATCCTGCATTACTATGTCTTGCTCTATCTCTCCCTGTTCCCTTTTGATAGTCATTAAATTTAAATTTACAGTTACTTTCCACTGCTTTTTAACTTTAAAAAAGCCAATTTTGTAAAAACCATGTGATCAAAAAATAGAAAAAAGACTGTCAATACGTGAAGTTGAGAAACACAAAATACCTTTTTTGACTGTTAACTTCTTTACAAGACGAAAAATAAAACATAAAATGGCAAGAACTTTCTTTACAAAACCTAAAATGGCAAGAACTTTCTTTACAAAACAGAAAATGGCAAGAACTTTCTTTACAAAACCTAAAACGGCAAGAACTTTCTTTAAAAAACAGAAAAACTTATATTTTCCAAATTTTATTTAAAATGCCCCAGCCATGTTCACCCACCTATAAACGGCCATATCCACCTACTTTTGGCCGTTTTCTTCAAAAAAGTTTCCGCTTGAACCAAACCAAAAAAAAGAAGTAAAAAGTAATGTCAAACAAGAAAATAAAAGTGAATTTGAGCGTGAAACAAGGCTTAGAAGTTGTACTTTTTGTAATTTTACAGGCGGATGGGCTTTAGTCTGGCTAGTTTTATAAACTATAAATACATTTCTTGTTAAAAAAACAAACCTAAATAAATTTTGATATACGTATTTTACAAAATAGTTAAGAACATTTAGTTTGATACTTTTTTTAGTCAACCCTAGCCCTAATCTTCGCTTTAGCTTTACATTAAACAAATATAGCTGATGGGTAATCTAAGGTAGGGCTAGCGCAGGTTTAGGTTTAGCTATAGCCTTAGAATTAGCCTTAGTTGTGCCCTTATTTGAGCATGAGCATGAGCATGAGCATGAGCATGAGCATGAGCATGAGCATGAGATTGATCTTGAGCCCGAACCAGAGTGTAAGCCTGAGCTTGAGCCTGCGTTTGTGTTTAGGTTTGAGCTTAAGTTTGAGCCTCAGCTTGAGCCTGAGGCTTTGCTTGAGCTTTGAATTAAGCTTAAACCAGAACCTTAGCCTAAGCCATATCTTGAGCTTTAAATTGGGCTTAAGTCTTAGCCTGAGTCTAAGCCAGCCACTCATCTTATAAGGTGCCCTGATCGATAACTTTAAAGTCTACTAATTCTTTGTACATCTCTTCTTAACTAAGTCAGCAATTAAACTCTAAAACCTTTTGCTAAAACCTATAGAATATAAACTATACGATTTAAAATTTTTAAAAACAACCTTAACTATAACCTTAGCCTCGGGCTTAAACCAAAGCTTAAGCAAAATTAAGAAAAATAAAATTTTCCGTTTACCTCCAAACTCCAAAAACTTGTAAAACGACTCGAACAACCCATAAAAACGAGTAGAAGGTAAATACAAGGTAGTGTTTTGTATTGCGCAAGAAGTAGTAGTCAAGACGGGGGGAGAGGAGCGGTGTCGTGATCGCAAAACAAATGAATTCCATAGTAACAAGGGGAATACGTCGGTGATCGCAACGGATTTATTAGGCAGTAAAAAAGCTGGTTGTAGCCATTTTCGGGAGTTTAGGAAAAGTAACATATTTGCTGGTATAATACGTTTACAAAGCCTTATAATAGCTGTTTTTAGCGCTGGGCGGAAAGTTTTTACGTAGGCAAGGTAAAGTAGAGAAAGGGGGGGTGAAGGGAGAGATTACAATAAAATTTTTTTTTTAATTAAAAAAAATAAAAAATTGATAAGTTATTTTAAACACAATAAGGTTTTCCTCAGTAATAGCCTTAGGCTTAGGCTTAAACTAAAACTTAAAATAAGGCTTATTCTTAACCTTCGGTAGAAGCTTAAACTTAGACTTTACGAACGACTTGGACTTTCGCTAAACCTTAAGTTTAGTCTGAAGCTTAGTCTTACGTTCAGGCTTTGGCTTTAGGCTTAGTCTTAAGCTCAAGCTTTAGCTTAGGCTTAATCTTCGTCTTAAGCTCAGGCTTTGGCTTAGGCTTAGTTTTAAGCTCAGGGAGTGTTTTTCACCGGTCCGGTCTGGCGATTTTCAGGTTCGGTCTAAGTCTCAAATTTTAGGGTCCGGTCCGCAAAAATCTTTTTTTTATTTTTAAAAAAAGCCGGAGCTTTTTCTTCGATCCGGGTCAGCAGGTTTTTGGGTTCGGCCCGGTCCGCAAAAATTTTTGTTTCGGTCCGTCCGGTCCGGCAAAACACTGAGCTCAGGCTTTGGCTTAGACTGTCTTA